ATTACACTTTGTCATAGAAAAACTATAGAGGAATTTTATTTATCAGAATCATCGTCCAACTTTTAGAATTAATTATTTTGGATAAATAACACGAAAAATCTAACGTGTACTCTTTAAAATTTACTTACTAATTTGACTGTTTTTTTCTCCGAGCATTCGTAGAAAAAAGACAAAGATTGACTCAGAAGGTTTGCTTGGAAGTGTAACACCTCGAGTTCCATAAACGGAGAGTTACCCAAAAGATCATCATCTGCTTACTCTTCTGAGGACTTAATGTACGTTTTTATTTTTCTTTATGATTCAAGGACACGAGAGAAATGATAGCTGAAAAATGCAATATCCAAAAATTACATAAGAATTGAGTTGTCTAATATTGTGCGCACGAACGGTTAGTCAATCCTATCAAAAACCAAACTATTTACATTAAGATTAGGTACGTGCAAGGTATTTATTTTACTGAACTCTACCTCGACTCAGCCCATCATGCCAAGCAGATAACACAAAAGGGAGGTCGCAATTTTTTATCCTAAGTCTTAACAATATCCTGGCGTGGTAACCCAGTGGTCAATGGATGATAATGTTCTCCGTGAGATCACAAATTCTAGCCATGCTGAGTAAATATTGTAATGCCATTACAAAATTGGTTATTTTTATACAACGGCCAATTGAGTTCTAAACCAATGCTGCCAATGTAATTATTTTGGCCAATTTTAGCTAAAATTCGCTGACATAGCCTGCCGGGTTGCCGTTGGCGTGAATAATTTTTTAAATTTTTCTGACTTTTGTATTATGTATATGTTTTTTTCTTTTCTTTACAACTCAGGGTCAACGAGGTTGCTAGCTGACCCTCGCCTGGATCTTGGCAAGGGTCGATGCCCTTGCTTGCCATCACCAAGGCCCCTGCCAGTCGGAAAGAAAAGAAAAGAAAGAAAAAAAGGAGAAAAATAAAAAGGAAACTTAAAAAAAAATTGTAAAAATTGTTCACTTCAGCATTAGCTATGCCACATAGGATAGTCAGCGCCCACGTCGATGATTTCCAGCCAAAATTGATCAAGATAATTTTATTGGCAAATCGTTGAAAGGTTTGAGACTAAATTAGCAAAATTAAAAAGTTTAAGGATGAATTAGGTTTAGGCACGAAGGTGGAGCTGTGGCTACAATTTCTATACCTATCAGTGGTGCAGAGTAAGTATAACTTGAACCAAACATTCCGTAGTGAGTGTAGGACTCTTGTAGTAACCACAAGAAGGGTAGCTGCGCTGGTCACATTTCCTATACTTTCCACTTTTTTAATTTTTTGGGTTCAAAAGAAATTTCCATTTACTGCCAAAATGATACATGAAAGGATCCATATGAAATTTCTTAAGTCACCATAACAAGGTAAGCTCGTAGAACTCTAAAACAAATCAAAACTTAGAAATTAAGTTGTATCATCATAATATAGTTGACAGAAATAATCACATGCTCATCCTTTAAGAACAAATTTGTGACTGCATCCAAGCGAAACTTTCGATGGCCGATCACCAAATCGCACACCATCATTAGTGATGAGCACACGCCGAAATCTCTATATATAGTTTCAGCTTTGCCTTCCGGCGATGTGCGCGTAGATTCGGCATCCCCAACACCATCACCATATGAAGACAATATAAATATGTTGAACAAGCTCAGATCTGACACTTGGAGAGCAAGCTCTTTAGCAAGTGCGAGACGCCAAAATTTTTAACAAAAACAAGTTGAACGAACACAGATTTGACACCGAAACTACCGTGAACACCATTGAAACTAGAGATTGAGTAGTTATTCATTAAAACTCCTAAATCTAGAATTAGATCGGAGAAAAAAGCTCCTAGATCTGAGTTGGGAGAGCAAAACTCCCATATCTAAAGCTACATCAGGAAAGTAAGCAAAGCAACAGGCAAAAATAAAAGGAAAAGCAAGTAGGGAGGGAGGGAGAGATTTAGGTCAAATCCTCCCCTCGAGAAGTTGAAGGGACGAAGAAAGGCCGAAACTCTAAGAGAAAAATAGAGGGGAGAGGGAGGGAGAGGGAGACTAATTAGTGGAAACTTTACTTTCCACTTATTTAATAGATGGCAAATTTACCCATCCAATATCAAATTCGTAAATGCAAATACTTGATGGCCGGGAAAAAAGGACATAATTTCCCAGCGCAAGACATCAATTGTGCTGTTCCAGAATATTTATTATAACACAATCCAAAATCGTCCTAAGTAACAAACATCATTTCTCTAAGATTACTCTTAGTAGATTCTTCCCCTTATCCCGAATCTCTCTAATGATTCCCCGAAAAATGTTACATATATGTGAAAAGAAGATCCATCTGCAAAATTATAACGATAGCATTGCTCTTTTTCCGAACTGCAGAAACAAGTAAATCACTGCACTGCGATCTGGCACGGCGGACTGGTTCACCGCTATAGTGTTGAGAAGCATGTAGCCACTCTATGCCCGATATTCCGTAGAACTTGTGAAACACGATATATCTGCAGGAGTTATAACATGATTAATCAATCTCACCTTTTTTGCTTCAGTGGACAAGCATTGTGTGTGAGAGAACAAACATGTCAGCGTTAAACTCAGAAGACAATGGAACAGAAGGCACATGAACTAGTCAGTAGAATTTAGACATCAAGAACAAGCACTGGAAATCACGCCCAAGAAGGCCATTTCTTAGGAATCATGCTCATATTCAAATCCAAGGTGGCAGATGGACTTGCAAAAGTAACGGCATATTTCGCATATAAAGGCACGAATGATAACCATTCTGTTCCAGAAACAATTCCTAGAATAGAAATAAATTTTTCTATTTATGTTCCTAGGACGAGTTTCTGAAGAAAAAAACCCGTTTAATAACGACCAAAAATTTTTATTTCTGGAACAGAAACTCGTTTGATAACAGCATAAAATTTCTATTTTCCGGAACATAAATCCGTTTGATAACAACACAAATTTCTGTTTCCCAGAACAGAAATCCATTTTTTTAGAAATGGTCTATAAAATGAAAATCAATCAAAACACCCAAACCCTAGTAAAACCCTAATTCATTCAAAGGATTGTGTAGTTTTTTAGGGGTAAAGACCCCTTTTGGGGGTTAAACCCCTTTTAGGGTTTTGTAGAGGTTAAAACCCCTTTTAAATCCCTAAACAAAGGAGTCTTCAAAAATATCATTTGGGCACCTAAAAAAATTTAAATTTCACTCAAAGTGGGTGGTCACAGGCATTCTAAGTCATTCTTTGAAATTTTGAAATTTTTTATTTTTCGATTTTTTGATTTTTTTTGAAAAAATTCACTAAATTTCCTATTTTCCCGAAATCTGACTTTTTTATCTTCTGGAAATTTTTATGAATTTTTCAATTTTTATGGATTTTCTGAAGAAAAAAATTTGAGATTTTTAGGAATTTTCCTAATTTTCCGAATTTTTTGTTTTTTTCTGAATTTTCTAATTTTTTATGATTTTTCTAATTTTTTTTTGAATTTTTTTTATTTTCCCGCCGGGAATGAACCGGACCGAACCGGTTCGGATCGATCTGACTAGGTCAGATCGAGGTCCAATTTAGAAAGAGATGTGTTTTGGAGAGAGAAGACAGGTTCTTTTAGAAATGGTTTTCATTTCTTGTCCAAAAATAGAAAACCTTTTTTTTGTTCTGATTTTTTATCCAAAATCAGTTCTAGAACAAAAAGTTGTTCCAAAAATAGAAAAATAGAATTGCGTTACCAAACGGGTTTCTGTTCCAAACTTTTTCCCGGGAACAGAAAACTAGTTCTGGACAGAAACAAAATAGTTATCATGTGCGCACTAATTGACCATCGTGGGCAAACATGCCGTGCCTGTTGTATGGCCAATAACTCTGTCCTACAACATGCATCCTTAAAGATCGGCAAGATTCAAAGCTACCTAGGTTTTGCTTTAGTAGAACAATTGCACACCCACAACTGCAGGAACTTTTCGTCGAATGTCTTGTCTGTGACTAAGGGTGCATTTAGTTAAAGCCTCTTGAGAAAATGCAAATTACATTTGGTAAAAAATCCTTTGTGAAGCTACTTTGACCCAAGTAATGTTTGATAAATATTATTTTGCAAAGGGCTTTGAGATTTTTTATTTTTTTTAAAAAGCTTACCCTTCACCAGAGCCGGCGATGAGCTACAGTCGCCGGCGAGCCAGATCTGGCGTCGATGGCCGTCACCCAAGGTCGGGCGACCCCCGGCGAGGGTTGCACGACCTCAGGCAGCCGTCACCTGAGGTCACGCGGCCCTCGCTGAGGGTCGCCCGACCTTGGGCGGCCCAACCTTGGGCGACGGCCGTCGGCGCTAGATCTGGCTCGCTGGTGGCCATAGCCCATCACGTCGCCTGGCAAAGGCCTAAGGTCACGCGACCCCAAATGACCATCGCCAGGGATGGGCAACCTCGCCGGCGCTTCGCCGTCCGATCCGGCCTCGGGCGGCTCTAACCAGCCACCCTCAGCCCAAAGGAAGATAAACAATCATGAGGGGCAAAATTGAAATATTGAGGAATTAGTGAAGGTAGTTTGGGAAGAAAAAAAATTAATTTTAGCATTAGGCCAATGCTCAAAGCTAGTCTGGATCAGCCTTGGGCTTTCAGCATTCCCAATGCTAGCTTTCGGACGAAAACTCATTGAAAATGATCAGCAAACGCCTCAACATTTCCCCAAGGGGCTTTCGAGACCAAAAGCACCTTGAAAATACTGAACCAAACGCACCCCAACAACAGTGCTGAGATCGTAAAACTTGCTGGCCCAGATGATGTCCTAGTCCAGGTTTTGATAAAATTGGGTACATACTTATTAGTTTTCGCTCGAACACCATAAGAGGATAACTACTCGGAATCTGCAGTCATTGAACATCCTTCTTTCGAATACATGTTCCATTAAGGACACGGACCAGATTACCTTTTCCTCCTATCAGCACTAAAAAGATTTAGACAGAATTGAAGTCTTGTACAATAGTACCCGACAAACAGCAACAAAGCAGGCTAGATGTTTACTTGAAGTCGGATCGAGACAACCAAGATTCAATACAAGTAAATATTGTGGAGGTATGCTACAGTGATAGTGATAAGGCAAAAAAAAAAGAGGGGTCCTCGTTTCGATTTAAATTCTACTTCCTGCAATCGAAACATACAATTTGATATCATATGCTTATATTAAAGGACAGAGATTGTGGAATAACCAACAACAATTCTTTCGGATATGATTCTCCTGCCTCCGACCGATCATATATGAAATGAAAAGATGTTAAAATGCAAAAAAAAAGGGGGGTGAATTAAAGCCAGATCCCAAAATTATCATTGTTTAAAATCCTTCACATAGAAATTGATCAGTTCTACGAAAATGGGATAACTAGACAACCTTTTAATCTGGGATAAGAGTCACACGGAAACTTTCTGGAAAAGCATCGATATACTCAAGCTGAAGTTAGGTGTTCAATCGCGTAGTTATCAACACTCAACTGATCATGACAAAGCCAAACGAGTCAAAATCAAGGTCTTTTTATTTGCTGCTTATTTTCTGATCTGCTCCTCATATACTGAAACCAATCAACAAAAGTTAAGATGCTTCAGATCATAAGAAGTTTGTGCTTTTTTATACTTGTTATAATTTGTTTGCGTCATTTGTGTTATCATACTATGCTTCGGCTATTAGAATTGGAATCCAAATGGACAGCAATGGAGAGTAAAGACCAAAATCGTACGAAAGCCATATAGTTTGAAGCCTAAAGAATTAGTTGAACATCCAGACAGAAAACTTTTAAATTTGAAAGATTTTGTCATGACAATAGACAAAGTACAGGCACAGAAAGTAGTTAGCAGAATCATCTACTTCTTTTGATTGAGAATTAAGTTTATAAGAACCCATGTCTATCACGATGAAGTTTTCAACTATCATCTTATAAAGATCCTATAAGGAAAATGATACAATGTTGCCGATTTCTTATACCATTACTGATTGCTTATATTATTGCATCTGAGATCTCTAATTTAATAGTCGCTTGATTATTTGATGACATAAGAAGTTGTATAGTTCTTGGAACACCTAACTATAGTACAGCAAACAACTAATATTGCCATGTGCCATTGTAAAAAAGCAGTAATACATGATCAACATTTGACTCAATGCGACTGATGTCAATACCAACTTTGTTGCTATCAACCCCGTCCAAAGTTCCAACCGTGTCAATCTGTATTGTTCCAAAACATTTAGTTGCTTTACATTTCAGAATATACTGCTAGATATAGATTCATTTGCAAAATTCTGTAAAACCGTTTAGCATAAATTTTGAGTGGATATTCAAATAAGCTATCGGATATATTCAAACACCTAAAAGAACTTGTGATCACTTGATGCAACCCATTCTGTGAATGAACCCTAGCATTCCAATATTCTAGATGGCACAGTTTTAATCTTCATATTGATACTGATATAACCTGGTCTCGAGAAGGGAGTGAAACCTTTGGGACTAATTCCGTAAGTTATAATGTACAAAGGCCTTCTAAAAAATTCCCATAATTAATGAACAAAATTTTGTGCATGAAACTTACCTTCACAAATGGCGAAGGTCAGCCTTAGATACGAGTGCATCCTCTACCTGTATACTCTGCCAGAACAAGGAAAAGCAAGTGGATGGATAATACCATAAAGATTTCCACTCAAATCTTAAGCTATTAAGCTTTAGAAAATGTCAGACCCAAAAAAAAAAAAGCTTTAGAAAATGACGTTATTTGTACTTTATATCTAAGGCCGCTGATGGACACGACGGGACTCAAAAGCAAGTGAACCGGTGATGTGTCAGTGAAGAATGGTTGAAATCCATTACAATAAAGAAGGTTAAAATTTAGTACATAAAACGGGAAATTATGATAAAATTGACCTTTTCCTTTGTTTCTCTCGTACCCTTTCAAAGAAATCCAAAAGGTCTCACTATTAAGATAAGGACACGGTTTGTACTTTATATCTTATCATATTTACGGCCACATGTATAAGATGTACAGCGACATCCTCATCGATTTATATTTCGAAATGAACTTAAAGTATACTTTTTGACGTACCGAAACAGGGTCAATTTAACATATGAAGCCCACTGTGGCTATGTTGTATTGTGTTCCAATGTACTGTGAAGTGATGTGATTATATGTTTAGTAACTCATGTTTTAAAGCTATAGCAACTTAAAATTGGGCGAGGTGGTTTCCTAGAACATGTTGCAGCTTCAGAGGTGCTTGACCATTGAAGTGTTTACCGTATACTTTTAAAAGCTGCAGCACCCCTTTTTACATAACCCCTTGTTACGGTTAAAGCGGCTGCGGGACAACCGTACCAAAGTCTTGCACAACTTAATTGATCTCGTCTCCTGAAAATACTTTGATCATATCAATATGAGCCCAGATATATGTACAATATGTAAATGCAACATGTCAAATTGGGAAAAAAAATAACCATCACAACTAATTCGTCGTGCCATGTGCTGAAGCACAAACAAAAGCCATCCATATGAAGCATAACATATGATAGTGGTAGAAAGACACACAATCGAGGATCAGTTGTTCATTTGAATCCCTAGAACTAATGAGTAATTTCACAGAATATCGAGGCTACAGTGCACAAGCATTGGGGAAACCCTAGATCCAACTTAAAGAAGCTAGTGAGAAAGCCCACGCCATGAGCTGTTGGCCTATGTTCCCACCTCATATTAAGAGCTGCAGTCGACTGTATAATTAGCGTTTTCTGCGATTTGCTGATCCCGCACTTCACTGCCGTTTAAAATGTCCCAATTCGCTGAACAAGAAAAAGCAAAAAAGCCCAAGGAAACCCCCCCAAAAAAATCTCCATGCTTGTGAAGATAATCGATTAAATCACCATATAAGGGCCTCAAGAAACCCCAAAAAGGGAAGAGTATTTACCATGATGCCTGTGAGATCTGGCCATCATGGAGGAAAGACACCACCTCATATCGACACTGATCACCGAGAAGTCAAAATGGCATTCATCTGCACCTACACCTGCACCTTTCAAGCGCTCTGCTTCTTCATCTGCGCTTCTCTCTTCTTTCACTTTCTGGGTTTTGAGGGAAATACCAATTCGAAAACACGTTTTGAACAGCCCTCTTTTTATCCCCTCGAGAGATGTAGCTCTGGCAAATCTCGGGCACAGAGACATACGCAGTAGAGAACCGAGAGCAAATTTAAGGTGCAGGTGCAAATGCAGACAAAGGCTACACCTTGACGAAACCCTTCTGCTCCAAAACTCACTCCTTCTCTCTCTTTAGGCTCTCCTCTTTCATGCTCTCATCAGACATAGAGGAGGAGGAGGAGGAGGAGGAGGAGAAGCCATGGCGTTTTCATTGGTTAACGGAAGGCCTCCCCTCGTGGCTTTTATTACATGGAAAAAGGGTGGAGAGGAGAGACAAAGGAGAGAGAATGGATAAGGATTTGACAGGCTCCACCCACCCACCCACACTGAGAGAGAAATCCACACTGAGAGAAGGGAGAGAGAGACCCGAGACGAGTGCTACTGCTGCCATGTCTGTCCTTAAGAGCCTACCAGCACGTGGGACATTTAGATAGAATCTCCGTCATCTCCGGCCACGTGATGCAGAGCGTACCAGCACGTGGGACTTCCCCCCACCGCAGTGGTGGCTCTCCGCCAGGTGTCGTGCGTACCTGACGACGGCCCACATTCCGATTCTTACCTCGCCTGATCTTGCGCTGTATCTGCTGAAGTTCAGGTCAATTTGATGTGGGGGGCCAATGGGGGGAGGGGGGCATCGCGAGTTATTGCCGTCTACAAAAGTTTCTCCTCACGTGATCGAATTGATTGAGACGTGTAGGCGCCCCCCACCATTTTGAAACACTTTAAAAAAAATAACGACATAAATAAATCTTGAAATTTGATTTAATACGTAATATAATCTTCGAACTTTTGATACATGTTCAAGTTAATTTCTGAACTATATGAAAAAATTTAATGTCGTACTTCCATTAAATCACTTTAATATAATCCGGAAACTGGATTAAACACGTATCAAAAGCTCGGGAACCGCATTGAATAAATTAAAAGTTAACAAACGACATTACACATTAACTGAGAATGTCATAGCAGCGCGCGATGAACTAGAGGAGGAATGATGTAAATCGCCATTGATCCATTGCAATCGGAAGCCATCCTATTTTCCGCTCTTTAGTTAGTTAGATTCAGTCTTTCGGGCAGCGCACATGGTTTTGCCTCAAAGGTAGATACCATCCTAATGTTGCTGCGACTAAGGTCTGCTGACCAAGTCCCAACCAAATAGGTTTTAAGCCTATTGTATGGATGTCGATTTAATATTAAATTTTCTCATTTGTCAATTGAGTCCTAGACCTTTTGTGCAAAATTTCAATATAGTCCTTTCAGCCAATTTTCGCCAGAAAAGTGCTAATGTGGCGATCCAATCATCACCGGTCATCTCGAATAGATTATATTGCAATACCGCGCAAAGGTTTAGAATCCAATTGGTAAAATTGGAAAGTTTTAATAAGTTTAGAACTAATCGAATAATTTCGCCTCTTGCAACTAAATATTTCATATCAGACTTTCACTGGATGGGTTGCAAAGGGTTTTTAAAAAATTAAATACAGCTATAACCAAGTTACGACATTCCTTTGTTTGGGATATCATTCTATAGGGTATTTTCTCTTGAAGCAAATCAACATAAGAAAGAAGAAAGTTCTTGGGTCCCTTAGTCAATATGGAGACTTCACTTCGCCAAGATAGGGGACACTTGACATGATTACATCCACGACGGATCTACCTAACTTGTATTTCGATGACCATTCAATATTTTTGAATCATAAAATCTAAAGAAATATAATTGATTTGATAACGATATGTCGACATGACACGTGATATGATTTATATACAGGATAGAGTGGTCACGCACATCGTGCCTCTTAAATGTTTTCGGAATTTCAAAACGTTATCTTTTTCCTACATCGTGCTAAAAGAAACTCTCCACCATCAATCAATGTGGAAGCCTGATTTGGACTACATATCAAAGGAGCCATACATCTTAAGAGAATCCTCCCTTTATAAAAGTGGAACTTCTACCATCGGACGTGACAGTGTTGTATACATATTTGCAAATTAAGTGGCTTTTCATCATTTGCGATAAGCTCAATGTCACCATCAGATAAGTTGTGATCCGTGCAAGTATTTACAAAAAAGGTTATTTTATTATTCCGAATATACACCAGCTTAGCACCAAATATATCTTGTATATGTCCTATTGAGACTTCAACTTCATTTTGAAACGACGTTTTTGGTTTTTTGTTTATTCTAAATCTTTCGACTCACACATTTTAACTCATTTTAAGATTTTATTTATTTCGTGAAAAATGAATAAATTGAAAAAAGGATCGCTTTTATCGCTTGAAATAATTAGCCGATGAAAAATATTTTCATATTCGATAATAATTTATGTTTAAATATTTTCTTGCGCAATGAAAATATTTTCCATTCGTTCATTTTTTAGAAAATAATTAAGATATTTCGATTTTAAGATGATATTATTAAAAAATTTAAACTTGTCACATTACGAGGGGACAATATCATTACTCTGTAAATAATAAATCATATTTCAATATTTTTGCTTACTGAGCTGAATTAAATTTCAGATGAAATCATTTTGTGTATTTAGATTATGTTTTAGCTGAAAAAGAAACAAGCGATCTTAATATTTTTTATTTTAACATCAAATTAAAGAAAATAATAACAACTCTCGTGATAAAAATATATACCATGATAAGGTGCGACTAACGTACTAAAAAGAGAGTAACTTTCCCTGCCTAATCTCAACACTCATCTGACCAAACAAAAAAAATCTCAACACTCAACACTCAACTTTTTTTGGCTTATCATATGTATTTTTTTTTACTTTTATGCAATTATATTAAAGAAATATCTGTATACTTATATACTTCCCAATCTACTCCAACACTCCAATTTCTTTTTTGGCTCTTGACTTATATTAAAAGAAAATTTTCATATTTAGGCTCCGTTCGTTTGGCGGAAAATATTCTTCCGGAAAATATTTTCCGGGTTTTCCGGTGTTCGGGGGGCGGAAAACGTTTTCCGTAGGAAAATATTTTCCTTCCCCCCTCACAAAATAGCCTAAGTCTATGGAAAATGACTTCCGCTTCTTCAAAAGCGGAAATCATTTTCCGGAGCTTCTTCTTCTTCTTCTTCACTAAGGTCGCCGGTTGCCGCCGCCGCCGATCGCCCGCCGCCGCTGGTCACCCGCCGCCGCCGGATGCCGGTCGCTGCCACCGGCGAAAAATATTTTCCGAAACTTTTTCATATTGGTCGCCGAACACCGGAAAATTATGTTCCGGGAAAACATTTTCCAGGAAAATGACTTCCGGGAAAATATTTTCCAAAAGAAGAATATTTTTCGCCAAACGAACGGAGCCTTATATACTCCCTATTTTCCGAAATGACAAGACACGACATCAAATCATACCATATTCCATTAAATAACATAACATGGAATATGTAATTTAACTCTTACATTTTAAGTACATATTGTGAGATTTTATGGGATCACCGCCAACTGTTTTAAAATTTAAACTTTTAAATAAAGACGTGGTTTAATATTTACATATTCTAACACTCCCTCTTAGGCTTAGTCTGGTCTTTTTATTTAATACTAAGCGTAGACATAATAATAGGGGCCTAGAAAGATTTGAACTCATAACTTGCTGCTCTGATAAACACTTTTAGCATGGCATAAAAGCACATTGATTTTGGCCTGTAATTAGCAGAGCCGGGTCCATGCTAATCTTATTTTTGAATAATAGATATAATGAATTATGTAATATGATCTTGCCAAGTACTAGAGTATTTTGGGAATATGAATGTACTTTGTTATCTAACGTGTACCAGATTTTGCCAAAAGATTATCTGATTGAAATGAGACTTTTAAGGCAAGAAAAATTCGCTAAATTTACCAATTATTCATCGTGTCTCCACTAATTCATAAAAGACGACATCTACCCTATCCACAAGACAAGGCCCCACCTGCTCTCAATCATTATTAGGTTATAATGGAGACAGCTAAGCCCGTTTTATCAGACCTAATCTCGTGTTTTTGTCTTTCATTATGGCCCTACTAACTTTTTATTTTCTTCGTTTTTGCATATTATTCCATCCCTAATTGTGGAATGATACACATGAGAAGGTTTTAGAATTTTTTTTTTATTTGGAGAAATGAGAAGACTCTTTTTTCATTTCTCATTGTGGCCCTTCCTTTCTCTTTTCTCTTTTGTATGCTGGATATTTTTGGGGGTGTAGTGGAATAAATTTTCCTCTCTAGCTCCAGCAAGCCGTGAGCAAATATCATTGATGGTACGTGAATTTTAACAGAGAATTCAGATTATTGAGCTTTGATTTTTAATCAACATAAATGTACTTAATTAGCTTTCTTTTTTCTTTGAAATTGATGGATTTTGACCGACATCCTGTCGATTTCTCATGATATTTTTAGTCGAAACCATGGAAGTTATTGAGGTACGTTTGGACCATCGACAGTGACGGTTGAAAGAACGATGAGAAGGTTATTGTTGTCGAGGTGGATCAACCAAAGATGCCCTCCCACATCGTACTAGATTGCAAAATCCCGAGTTGGATTCAATTAAGGCCACGTCACCAAAGGAAAAGGTCGAGAAAGACACGAGATGGGTCAAGTCGATCAATCAATTTGATCTCGAAAGAGATGAGGAGTTGATCGATTTCGTGGTGGTGGGGCAACGACAACGAGCCGGTTCAAAATGAACCGCGACATCTATAGGAGAGCAACCGCAGTTTGCCATGAGGCTCGGAGAGGAGGACGAGGAAGTCCTCAATGGGTTCTGCGGCTAGGGAGGCATGGCAGCATAGGGTTGTGGGGTAAAGAAGAGCCATTGGGACGGACTATATTGAGCATCGGGGGTTTTATTTTCGGTCTTTATTGAGTTGCCTCGTGAGGTACATCCAATGATGATTTGACAATGATTTAAAAGCTAGCAATATGAATCCACTCCCTTTCAATCACCTTCATATCGAATCATGATTATGATGAAAATAAAGCAATCTAAATACTCATAATATAAAGTCAAGATTCAAGATTATGTTAAATTAGGTCCAACCTAAGCAGATTTCCTACGGCTATGCCGACAGTAAGAAAATCTTACGCTAAAAATATAAAGTATCAAAAATTTTAATCTAGTATTCAATTCAAACTCATCCATCCAAGACCTTTCTTCTTCTTTTTCTTTTTTCTTAAACAATTTATCGAAACCAAACGCGTCAAATGGGAATAGTAAAAAAAATTTTGAGAAAAACTAATTTATTAGATAAAACTGATCATTTATCGAATAGTTCGTACACTTAGCAATTGTTATTGTATAGTCTATCAAATCAAGCAAAAAGTACTCATTTGACTTTTTCTATCAAGATTTTAGGAATTTTTTTTAATCTTGAAAGCTACGAAAAATTTTCGCTTGATATGACTTGATATAGAAATTAAAAGTAAATGTCAGTCTAATCACTCAGTTGAAAGCGTTCCTTCTCCTTTTTCACAAAACATGAGACATAAAGTCAATTGGGCCACGAGTACCTTTTTATTTCTATTAAAAAAAAACTCCGTATACGACCTTTCATCAACCTTTCTTCTAATTAGGTAATAGGTCGAGATCACGAGTTTGATTCCAGCTCATATTTTCCTTTTAAAATGCGACTTCATTTTTCGGCTTCCTATGCATTCAATTTCAATTAAATTTACACGGGACGGGTGTGTTAAAGTGTCATTTCGCTATAATATAAGGCTCAAATGGGCCATATATGCACGTGGGAGTCGCCTCCATCTATACATGAACTTGAGTTTTTAAGTTAAACTTTGTAGCGCCGTATAAATACGCCGTTAAGTGTTTTGCCGTCTATCTCACAAAAAAAACTAAAATAACGATACTCTCGCTATGAAGAAGTAAAGGAAAACATACATATTGTTAACGAAAAATCTAGCATCACGAACAAAATCCAAGAAGATCCACCGCTTTCACGTAGGAGAGAATCTAACAGATAGCCCCACATTTGAAAAGTTAAGAGAGCAGATCAATACTCAGCCCATGCTACCTTAAAAAAGTTGCAGTGCCCTTTTTCACAACTATTGTTTGCTCAGGAAAAATAGCAGTTGCACCCGTAAGCATAACCCTAGTAAAAAAAGAGAGAGAAAAAAAAAAGAAAGGGCTAAATATAGATTTAGTCCTCTAAATTTCATTATCTATCCAGTTTGAACCTGTAAGTTTTATATTATGCAATCAAGTTTTCTAACTTTCTGGATCTGTGCAATCACTCCAAGTTTCATTTTGTGCAATTTCTTGATTCGTGCTAGTGCTTTGTGTTTTTTTTTTTTTTAGTTTTTTGGGGATCCGACAAGTGCTTTGTTTACCTACCGTAACTAACGGTGCCAAATTAGGATTTCTTTTTTCTTGTCTTTCCCATTTGTTTTCTGCGCATTTGTTGGCACCGAATTAGCTTCACGGCTCATTTTCGGTCACCCGAGCAATGACAGACCCGGCACATTCATAGACCCGACCCATTTTCGTTGCATGTGAATGGCTCAAAACGGGTTATAAATGGGTCGATTCGTGCCAGACTATTATCCACCCAATTCGACCCACCCGTTTGACGGGCCTAGGCGCATCATAAATTAATTCCCCGGTTCAGCCGCGAAGATACCATGGGCTGGGCTGAGTATCCATCTACTCTCCTGGCTAGAAAAGCCCAATAGGGGGTCCAGATTTCGAGCGATCTCTCATGTCTATTCTTCCCCTCTTTTATTTCCCCACCAAAATTTCTCAATTTCCCACTATGATCGGGAACGATTAGTGATCCTGCTTCCCACTTGAAAAAACCAAAAACGTCTACAGAATAACCGGAGACAAGATGTGAAATGCAGGATGACCGAGATGGAACGTCGAGCATTTTTCACGAGAAAGATTAGCCGTCTTGTCGGTAGGTTACAGCACAAGAATTGTGTTTAAAGAAAAGTAACTTTGGATAAATATAAATATAAATATATATATAGTGTCGTAAATCTATATCTATATATATACTGATGGAGCGATATCGCTCGATTGGTGTGGTTTTGCAGAGCCTTCTTTGACTTTTCTTCTTGGTATTAGGTGGCAGATGATTTTTCATAATTAGGGTATTTTTTTTAAAAATAAAATTCAAATTATTAATGAATTTGGGAGTAATTACTTTTGTCGTGTCCATTAGTTTCAAGTGGATGGACACATCTACATGTGGCTCCGTTTTGGCATTTTTTTTGAAATTTTACATGGGTTTCTTTAATATGTTTTTTTGATAGTTGAACACAAAACGGGGGTCATTTTGCGACTCCACATCAAAAAATTAGAAGAAGAACTGAAAATAAATAAAAATCAAGTACGGAAATTGTAAATTAAACAAAACAAGAAGAAAGAAGACACGGCAGGGTCGGAGATGGTGGTTTAAGGGGGCAATGGCTTCGGCGAGCGGGCGGGCCCTCGCTCGTGGCGGGGGCAACCCTTGCCGACACCAGGCGAGGGTCTCTTGGCCCTCACATGGCGGTCTTGAGGGCCAGGTGGGATGGTGGAATTGGAAAAAAATAAAAATAAATAAAGAAGACACTATAGGATCGACGGCGACGATAACGTCCTCTTTATCACGGCTAGAATGGCAGGCCCTCGACACGAGCAAAGCAGGGCCTACTTGCCCTCGTTCATGGCGATGCCGACCCTAGTCAATAGTAGGTGAGGGCCAACAAAGCTCGCCAATCCTCAATTTCCTGATGTGGTGCACAAAACAACGTTGTTTTGTGTTCGGAAGCCACATAAATTTGGTTCAAATAACAGAAGAAAAAATGTCGCGTGTGCATTTCCGTCTATTTAAACCTAATAGACTTGATAGATTGACTAAAATCCACAAAGTTGATAAGTTTTAGATTTAGATATGCGAATCGAAAGTTTTAGGACTCCCACCGTAATTTTCTATATTTTTTTCTCGTGATCTTCATTTCTAGATATTCAATTTCAGTTATCCACTAAAAATTTTCTAAAAAGGATACTAAATAATATCGAATTTTACGACAGCAATGACCGTCAAAGCGACACTGATGCTTGAGGGAAAATAAGGTGGGGAGGAAAATTTTATAATTACCTGTGTGTTCACTTTTGCAAAAATTCAAGTTCTCTTAATTTCACACCCACTTTTCTATCTCCTCCCCTCCCCCTAAACACATCAAAATAAAAGAAGTAAAGAAATCAAAAAAAAGGAAAAAGTGCAAAAATCAAAAAGTGAAAAAAGAAAAACCAAATGCCACTTTCCATCCTCTACTTTGCCAAATATGAGTTTGCATCCTCCCACAAATCTTCACAACCAAAAAGACCATAATGCCATTCCCATCTTTGGACGCCGCCCCACCACCTCCGGTTGCCATCCCTCGACATCGAGCCCCCGTGCCACTATTGTCGCCTCCCGGCAATGGAGCCCAATTCTCTCTCTCTCTCTCTCTCTCTCTCTCTCTCTCTCTCTCTCTCTCTCTCTCTCTCTCTCTCTCTCTCTCTCTCTCTCTCTCTCTCTCTCTCTCTCTCTCTCTCTCTCTCTCTCTCTCTCTCTCTCTCTCTCTCTCTCTGAGAGCTAGAAGAAGCTTGTCGCCGCATCCTTGACGCCAGCTTTGACCTCCACCTTTTAACCCAATGGAGGCATAATCTCGAGCGATGAAATCTACGCCACAAGATATGAAGATAGAGAGAGGCAGAAGAAGTGGGCTCAGGGTCTTACTGGCGAACATGAGCCTCGACGAGCAGCGCCATTGCCAAGATGGCGGGCTAGCGTGGTAGCTGAAGTTATTGGAGCGGTTAGGGTTACGATTTTCTTAACAGAGAGGACTCTTTTGATAGGGCGAGGAAATTTAGAACCATGACGGGGTAAAGAAGAAATAGCGATCTTGTAAAAAAAAAATCGAAAATGTCAATCAACAGCGCCAGGTGCAATTTGGTGGCCAAGACGAAATTTTGCTTCTTTATGCAAAGTAGTAATTTATAAAAATAGAGGGTGAAAAGGGGTACGGGTTAAAAAGGTGAGGATGGTTTTTAGATTTTTTTTCTCAAAAGGAAAAACAAAAGGAGATTGAAAAAAAAGAAAAAAGAGGGAAGAAAAGTACAAACCCCCCCCTAAAATTAATTTTCAGCGATGTTATCATGTAATGTCCAACGTCACATTGTCCACCATGATGATGATGCAGGGGCCAATGGCCATCCATTCAAATGCCATGGCCACTTTCGTCGCGATCGCAGCCACTCCCCCCTCCCTTTTTCCAAAACCAGAACGCTCGCCCCGCTATAAATCTGGGCCCCCGGCCGCACTCGTTCTGCCATTGCTTCCTCTCTCCCTCGATCCCCACGGTTGTTCCGAGTCACGCTCGTCCGCTCACCGCCGGCGAAACCCACACCTCACCCAATGGGCAAAGTGAGTCGACTCGTCCTCGTCCTCGTCCTCGTCCTCGTCCTCTTCAAGTTCACGCCTTTTCTTCTCCACTTCCCCTCTTATTGTCTCTAGTGTTTTGGGTCTGTCTCCCTCTCTCTCTATCTGTCTCTCATGTTTGGTTTTTTCTCTCGCTGTTGCAGAAGAAGGGCAGCAAAGGAGGAGGAGGCGGCGGCGGCGGCGGCGGAGGCGGGAAGGAGGAGGTGAAGAGCAAAGGAGAGGGCGAGAACAAGAAGCAGGAAGGGGAGAGTGGCCTCACGGTGGTCCTGAAGGTGGACATGCACTGCGCGGGTTGCGCCGACAAACTCGCCAAGCTCGCCAAGAGCATCGACGGTACTATTGAACATCGCTCTACGCTCTCCCTCTCTCTCTCCCTCTCTCTGACCCAGATGATTTATCGTGTGTGAAGCCGCCGGCGCGGCGAGGCTCTGTTTTTTCCGTTCTGCGATTTCAAAGTCCTCATCTTTGATTCGTATTTCGTTCCCCTATTGACTTCGCAATCTTCTGTTCTGTTTTATGAGTCTGAATAGGTGCGCTGGATAGTGGGTTCTTACTTCATTCTTCACTTATTGCGACTTTTCGAATCCCCAATCCCGCAAATGGCTCTGTGCTCTGTTTTTTTCCTCTGCACTATGCTTCGACTGTCTTTCGCTCTGTTTTTTTCCTCTGCACTCTGCTTCGACTGTCTTTCGCTCTGTTTTCTTTTTCCGAGATTTTGTGGACGAGTGAGCTGAGAAATTCGGGTTTCGACCTCTGCTTGTGTGTGGTGGGCGTGAAGGAGTGGAGAAGGCGAAGGCGGAGTGGGAGGCGAGCAAGCTGACGGTGAGGGGAGAGATGGACCCGTCGGAGCTTCGCGAGGAGCTGCAGGCGAAGGCGAAGAAGAAGGTGGAACTGGTCTGGCCGCAGCTGCCCAAGAAGGACAAGGACAAGGACAGCAAATCATCGGCATCTTCGGACAACAACAACAAGGCCAAAGATAAAAAGCCCGAGGACAAGAAACCCAAAGAGGTATGGTCTTCTATTTGTTTGTATTTACATCTCACGTTTTGTTCTTGGGATTCCACGCTCTGCATGTGACCTTCCTTTCATTCGTTTGTCTCCTTATGTTTTCCCCAGAAGAGCTCGAGTCCATTCCAAGAAAACCCAGAAAAAAAATAACGATGAAAAAACAAGAATTCTCTCTTTTTGTAAATGAAAAGCTTGTGTTTATGTCTAGGACTCTGAATTTTTTGTGAATTTTTTTGCTTTTTTTTTTTTGTGAAAGAAAGTTAGGTCCTCTCCGTTAGATTAGGACGAAGAGAATTATGCGGTTAGGTGGCACATTGAATGAATGTTGCGAACAGGGAAATTGTTGACCGTGGTTAATTATTGTACATTGAGTGACCATTTTGTCTCGAAATTAAGATCATTGCATGTCTTTCGGACAAACGTTGACCTCGAATTCTATATTGACAAGATTCCGAAACGTCTCGTGTTAATGCGTGAATTTGGTGGTTGCTTTCCCGTTAGGTCAGAATCTGAAACCTGTTATTTATTATTGCAAGGTCTGAGGTTGGTTTCTTGAAATTATTTATATTTTAAATTGCATTTATTTGGATTTTTATTGCCGCTAATAATTATTAATTAGGAGTTGGGCATTTTGAAATTGAGCTTGTGTTTGGTGCGTTGTTTAACGGCGATGCGTTACAGCCTCCGGTGACCACGGCGGTTCTGAAGCTGGATTTGCACTGCGCGGGGTGCATTGAAAAGATTTTCAAAGCTGCCTCAAAAACCAAAGGTAGGGATTCCATTATTTTAACCTCGTTTTTCAGTTACCTTAACGTGACAGTAACGTTGGCGAGATTTCACGACATGGGCAATCGCTAACTAATTGCTTTGGATATGATCCGCAGGAGTGCAAAGCATTGCTTTCGACAAGGAGAAGGATTTGGTCACGGTGACGGGCGCGATGGACACGAAGGCCGTCGTGGAGAGGCTGACGGCGAAGATGAAGAGGCCGGTCGAAGTCATCCAACCGAAGAAGGACAAGGACGGAGGAGGCGGAGGCGGGGGCGGGGGCGGAGGAAAGAAGAACAAGAAAGGCGGGGGGAACGGCGGCAAGGAAGAAGGAGACGACGGCGGGGCGGAGGAGATCTACGGCGGACCCGGAGAGTATTTCGGAGGGAGCAGAATGGAGTACAACGGAATACCACCTGGTTTCGGCTACAACGGAATGCCGCCTGGTTTCGGCTACAATGGAATGCCACACGGTTTCGGCTACAATGGAGTACCGCCCGGCTACAATGGAATATCGCCCGGTTACGGCTACAATTACGGGCTTATGTACGGGAACCACCTGCACCCGCCTCAGATGTTCAGCGACGAGAACCCGAACGCGTGCCACATCATGTGAGCCGACACGACGCGGATTATGACGTCACTAGGGCTTTGAGTATACATGTGATATGTTGGGAAGCAAGGTATTTGGAAGTAACTGTATATAATGAGGAGAATAGAGAGGAAACAATTTTAGAAAGGGAAGGGAAGGGAAGAAGCTGTGGGTGGGGAGGGGGCTGGTCAGGAATTTGCTTTATCAATATCTATGGGGGTGGGGGTTGACTTTATTTGGAGATTAGTTTTGTCAATTGAAAGTTTGATTCGGACTATGGTTATGGAAAAATTGAATATTGGTTTTTTCTTCCTTAGTTTTTTGGGTACTCCTTGCTTCTTTTTTGTGTTGGTTTTGTTTTTGGTTTTTGATGGAGTGGTGGGGGGTTTTTGCTCCCCGGTTGGGGCCAGAATGAAAGGAAGCAAGAGGCAGCTGCTATTTGCATGGCTTTTGTGATCGGGAGGAAAATGTAGGATGTAAATTGGAAATTGGCAAAAATATGAAAGACATGCAATCCTTTGTAGTATTGACTATTGGTCAAAGGGTTGCAGCCTAGGAAGGAGCAACAGCAAAGACTTAATGATGACTCAAGAGCTAGAATCCCATAGGGCAAAGCTAAAATCAAACCTTCAGAAGCAACCAAAAATGGAAGAAAAGTGTGAGAAACTGTTCTAAATAGTTGCACTGTTAAATGAAGCTGTTGTTGGTCTTTTTGCATAACTAGGGAAGCAAATGGAGCCTGGAAAAATTTTGAACTCAGAATCTCGTGCTCTAATATCATATTAGATTTTGTAAAATCACTGTCAATTGTTCTAAAAACTTAAGTCGTTAAATAAAGGTGTGATTTGATATTTATCTATTCTAAAAAAAAAAAGAAACATAAACTTAAATAGAACACGTAAATTTAGTGATCTAGTTGAGTGTGTGCATCTTTCTTCAGTATCTCATAAGACATCCTTCTTTTTTTATATAGTTATGAGCCTTTAGGATCTCACTTCTACGTTCGAAAACTTGGTTTCGCACGTTATTAATTTATTCTCCAAGTTTTGGACGTGGGCTCCAAGGTTTGGGAATCATGCCAACCGCTGCTCTCAGTCACCCCTATACATTGGAGATGACATGTGATCGGAATATAATCGTTGCTGCACTTTTTTCGTACATTATTTGGTTTGGCATTGTGCTAATCTTTTCTCCATGTTTGCCAATTCATTCCCGTCATCTGTTTAGCCATGATCAAAGTCATAGACATATCGTACAATGATCGATTCAGTCATAAACTTTTCAATTTAGCGAATTCAGTTAAAAACATTTTGATGATTTGCCAATGTAGTCTTTTCGGTCAATTTTGACCAGAATTCACTGATGTGGCCTTGGCTAGAAATCCCTGATGTGGCATGCGGAGGGAAATAGGGAAAAAAGCAAAAGGAAAGAAAGAAAACGAAAAAAAAGGAAAAAATAAAAAATTCAAACAAATTAAGAAATTGCAAAAAACGTCTACGTTTGCTTTGGCCGCGTCACGTAGGATGGCCGGCGTCCACGTCAGCAATTCTAGCCAAAATTGGCCGATATGACTACATTGACAAATCGTTAAAAGATTTAGGACTAAATTAATCAAATTGAATAATTTAGGACTAAATTAGCCATCGCACAATAAAGTTAGAACTATTTCGACAATTATTTCTATTTTGGGAGCTTGATTTTATTTTTATTTTTGACATAGGGAGCCTAGGTTAATGGGTGCTTTTTTTTGGGGGGGGCGGGGGTTAACAATTACATGTTAAAATTAAAATTGGTTCTTTTATGGGAAGATGAAGGTCAATTAATTGAACTGTATAGTTGAGCTACTTCTTTCTCACAAGCATTAAAACTTTCGAGGGGGACCGTACAAAAGACGGGGGGAGGGACATGTCCCTTTACAGTTTTAAGACGGGACAGAGAATGTGGACACCATTCACCAACTCCAGCTAACACAAAGGTGTCCTCTTTAATGAACCCAAAATCGAAATTGCCACATGATCTCGAAGATTCTGACCATGCGCAAATAAAACAAGCAAATTATAATAATGAAATTCGTAAGTTGGACATAGATTACGCTTGGTTCATTTAGTTAGACCCACGTTATGAGAAGAGCGTCACATGACTCCGCTATTGAATAAGCAATACATTACAAACACAATTGATTAATATCACTAGAGATCGAGCGGTAAATATATAGATATTCGAGTCACTCAAACATACTCGATATATTTTTTATTTTTTAGATATCGGGTGGTTTCTAGACCGATTTCCGCACACCTTATTGGTGTATGCGTGCCACTTACAGATAATAATTGATGATTAAGGTTCAGTACCGGCCGTGCCACGTAAGACTAATCTGATCTTACCGACACTGACTTGGATGATTTTTCAAGGATGTCACGTTCGGATTCCAGTACTTTGACATGACCGGCCTTTTGCCCAATTCAATCCCGATTAGACTTTCGTTAAACGGACTCAAATTTGAAACATATTTCTGGCACCGATAATAAACCACCGCAAAACTTCACTTCTTCCTCACTTATATATAATAATAACAAGCTACAAGTCTTAAAATCTAGTCCAGACCAATCCGATGCAATGCACCACTTTCCCTAATTGATATGCCCCACTAATCAACGTTCGCATCCTCGATCTAACTTTCCTTTCTTTATATGTGTGGATCTTGAAATCATATATAAATTCAGGTGAAATGACTAACCAATCAACTAATTCGATTGGGCCCTAATCGCGACATTAATCAAAAGGTGACAATAGAGTCCCGATAGAACTTTGCACGAACCTCTTGTCGCATTCGCGGTACGTGCGTGTGCTCCAACTCCTTTCAATGATCCCTTTTGCTAAAGCAAGTGGTGGAGCTTGACGCCACAGGCAACTCCCCACCTCTTTCAAGCCAAGCTTTCCTCCCTCCTTCCTCGGAAGCTAGACGGACACCTCCTCTTTTCCATATGACCCGCTACTCAAACTAGATGTGTCGGCGCCCGCCCGCCCGCCCGCGCGCACGGATCACTCGCATCGGCTTTGCATATTCGATGCAGCCCGAACACGATTGACTCGATGATAGCAGTTCGATGAGATGATTCGATCGTTATCGAGAAGGCGTCAGTCTTGTCTTATCGATCGGAAAGTTGGCGCATTTCGTTTTTCTCCCTTTTCACCAAATTCAATCATGGCGAAATCGGCCTAATCGTGGGTGCGTAGACTAGAGACTTTTGGGGAGAGTTTTGGGAGGGGGGGTGGTGAGTCATTGCCAAATTATTGGAGGCAACAAGCAAAGCAAGCTCACTTTCTCTCAATCAATCTCAAATGCTTCCAAACTTTTTCACGTCCCATCTTCTTTTTTTATTTTTATTTCTATTTTACAATTTTTTGTGTAATAAGAGAAGGAATATCTAAGCGAAGCCGTGCAATGTCAGTCGCCCCTGTGTGCGTGGAAAGTTCAGGCACCTTCCTCTTCCAACCATTATTATCCACGTCGGCAAAATAAAGGACCTTTTGCTATTTTTTTCCTTTCAAAATGAACTCGAGCCATTCGCCAGGCAAGGGTGAGGATGTCGCCGGCTATCGCCCGCCTGAGGTTGCGCGACCTCGGGAGGCCCCCACGCGAGAGTCACACGACCCTAGCAAGGGCCGTTTGAGGCCGCGCGACCTCGTGGAGGGGTCGTCGATGGTCAGATCCGGTGCCACCGGAGGTGGAAGACGGCGAGGGCATTTTCGAAATTTCGAAAATTTAGCGAGGGCAGAGTTGGAAGAAAAAATATATTATCATTTTGAAAAATGCTAAAGCCTAAACTTCCCACAAATCTAACTTGGGTCAAGGGACCCTAGAGAACTTTGAAAATACAATGCATTTGCCCAAAACTCACCAAAAAAATTCGTCAGACGCCTTAGTATTTGGCCAAAGGCATTTGACAAAGTGGTTGCCAAGCGTAGCCTTCCTGTCAAATCAGGCGGTCAAATGTTCACTGAAAATTACACAACGGGTTTAATTATGGATGCCATGTCAGCAATACTCGAACATAATATATGAGAAAATTGAAGACATCATTGACTTGAGGTTGTACTTTGTGGCGATAACTCTAGCGCAAGAAGCATGGAGTACCCAGAAAATCGAATGTGTTATCATGTCTGTCCTTTGACCAAAGGAAACCGAAATTGTTGACTCAAAATCACACCATCATTCATCTAGACTTATTGAGAGCAATCTCAACCTTTGTGTCTAGACTTCTCCAATGGGTCGTGGAATAAAAACTAAAATTACTAAAAAGAATTGCTTATAGCTAAATTGCTCAAGTCTTCTTAACCCCATGTTCATGAAAAAGGATAAAACAAGAGTTTTCTTCTTAACCAAAAAAAAAGTAATTAAAAATTATAACAATAAGAATAATTTCTCAAAAAGGAAAACATAAAATAGAGGGTGCACAAACATTTCAAGCCGAGCAAAGTGCACAAATCATGGGACACTGCGTACGCATCAGGGATGTAATACAAATGATCTCTGAACTTTGGTTTAATGTATAATATGATCCATGAACTTTATTTCAATGTGCAAAATGGTCCACGAATTTTCGATTTGTTCAATGTGATCCATGGACTTTTGGTACATGTTCAACTTAATCCCTAAACCATATGAAAATGTTTAGTATTGTCCTTCAATTAATTCAAGTTCCGGGACAATATTGAATATTTCCATATAATTTTATGGACTAAATTGAATATGCACAAAAATTCCATATATCACATTGAACAAATTAAAAGTCAATAGACCATATTGCATGTCGGGCTAGAGTTCAGGGACCATTTGTGTCATTTTCCCTACACATTGCTATGGTAATTATAACATACATCGCCAACGTAAAAAGAAAATATAAAAATTTAATGAGCGACACTATAATTTTAAAAATAGTTTTTATTTACACTGGCGACATGTGCTCCAATTTTTCTTTAATCCTTTCATGATGCGTTCGAGATGATTAGCATGCATGTGAATGCGCTAGACATGCATGCATGCGCACGTAATGCCCACGACATGCCACGCACGAGTACGATGTGGGGCCCCCCGATGTTTCCTCTCTCTCTATTTTTTGTTTTTTTCCTCTCTGTCTTTTTGGAACTTTACATAAAGTGTGGGAAAAAGGCCAATGAATTCTGTATTACACAAAAAAAAAATTCAATAAAAATATATATATAAAAAAAAAAAATACTGAGGAAAAGGGGAAAAGTTCAACGTTTTATTAATTGGAGTAGCAAATTGCACGGTGGCGTCAGGAATTTCGGATATTCCTAGTGGGTTCAATTATGGGAAATTGTCCGACCAAAAAAAAAATTATGGGAAATTGGAAAAAAAATAATTGAAAAATGAAGGAGATTGTAACCTTCTTTGTGTGGAATCCATTGATTTCAAGCATATCCCTTGCATTTTCTATCTACCAAACCAAGGAGGAGCTTGTTATTAACGCCAACCTAATAAGTAAACCTCCATATCGAATCAAAGCCGGTCCGTCGGATATGGTGAAATGCGCGCGGTACCCACGTAAACCCACCGACATCCTCAACCTGGGTTCGGTTCAATACTTGATCAAGTTGTCGTGGTAATTTCGCAATCTTATGAGATGTAATCGATGGGATTTTATTGTGATTTATATAATTTTAAGGCCTAAGAGTATGCGTGCGTGCGTGGATGCTTTCGGGACTTTAAGGGAGAGGAAAAAAAAAGAGGTACCTAGGATTAGATTCCCATCCATGTGATTAGAGAATTCTTTTTGCAAAATTTCACACTAGACGTGATGATTGCATGCGCACATTCCCCATGTGTCGTAGTCGTGGACAGAAAATGTATAAAAAGTAGAGGGCTTTTTTTTTTCCTAAACTTTTTTCGTTACTTTTTTCTTTGTTTGTTTTGGGCATGTAGAGAGGCTGCCAACTTCAATGGATTATGAGTGAGCATGACATTCTTTGGATTACCGCAAAAATAACATGTGGTGATGTGATTTATAAATATTTAAAGGAGTGAATCTCAAAATAATTTTTAATTATTTATTAATTATTTCTCAAAAGAAAAATTCATATCTCCTCGGCACGGTTTTTTTTTTTGTTTTTAACCTTTCACTCACGAGAAATGCTTATGTAATTATCTTGAATTAACTGTGAGATTAACCGTCTATCTTGGGCTAAAAAAAATTAATAAATAATTAAAAATTATTGTGAGGTTCATTCAATTTTTTTTTATAGGAAAAGTTAGAATCTTATTTGAAAAGACGAGAGTTTGATGGACGGGACGGCAATAATGCGCATGAATTTGTACCCTCTCGGTCTGTCTGACCCCAGATGACAGAGGCTCTGCTTTTTTCCGTTTGCGATTTCAAAGTCCTGATCTTTTGATTCGCATTTCGTCCCCCCTCTTGACCTCGCAATCTTTAGCTCTGCTTCAGGAGTCTGAATAGGTGCGCTGAATTGTGGGTTCCTGTGCTCTGTTTTTTTTCTTTTCTTGTCTGCGCTCTGCTTCGACTGTCTTTCGCTCTGTTTTTTTTTCCGAGATTTTGCAGACGAGTGAGCTGAGAAATTCGGGTTTCGACCTGTGCTTTGTGTGTGGTGTGGGTGCGAAGGAGTGGAGAAGGCGAAGGCGGAGCGGGAGGGAGGAGAGCAAAAGCTGACGGTGAGGGGAGAGATGGACCCGCCGGAGCTTCGCGAGGAGCTGCAGGGGAGGGCGAAGAAGAAGGTGGACCTGGTATCGCCGCAGCTGCCCAAGGAGGAGGAGGACAAGGGCAGCAAATCATCGGCATCTTCGGACAACGACAACAACAAGGCCAAAGATAAAGAGCCCGAAGACCAGAAACCCAAAGAGGTATGGTCTTCTATTCGTTTGTATTTATATCTCTCGTTTTATTCTTGGGATTCCACTCTCTGCATGTGACCTTCCTTTCATTCGTTTGTCTCCTTATGTTTTCCCCAGAGGAACTCGAGTCCATTTCAAGAAAACCCAGAAAAAAATGAAGATGAAAAAACAGATTTCTTTCTTTTCATAAATAATAGTTTATGGTTTATGTCTAAGACTCTGTATTTTTTTTTTTGGTAAATTTTTTGTGAAAGAAAGTTAGGTCCTCTCCATTAGATTAGGGTGAAGAGAATTATGCGGTTAGGTGGCACATTGAATGAATGTTGCGAACAGGGGATTTATTGACCACGGTTAATTATTGTACACTGAGTGACAATTTTGTCGCAATATTATGATTATTGCATATCTTTCGGACAAACGTTGACATCGAATTCTAGGGAAAATTTCAAATAAGAGCCTGAAATGCCATCATTTGCTCAAATAAAGGTCTAAAACGAACATTGTCTCAATTAAGGGCTTGAAGTGGCCATATTAATATCAAAAAAGGGCCAGACCTTACTGGTTGAAGGGCATTTTAGTCCTTTTCTTTTTCTTTTCTTTTTTCTTTTCCCTCTCTCTTGCACGTCGGTGAGGGTGGCCCTTGCCCTTGCCCTCGCCTGAGGCTAGCGAGGGTAATCCTCACCCTCACCTAGGCTAGCGAGCCAGGCAAGGGCAGCTCTTGCCCGCCCAGGCAAGGGCAACCCTTGCCCTCCCCAGCCTAGGTGAGGGTGACTCTCGCTCAACGCTGGCGAGGGTGGCCCTCGCCTAAGGCCGGCGGAGGTCGCCAGCGATGGTCGAGGACGAAAAAGGGATAAAGAAAAAAGGAAAAATAAAAAAAGAAGGGAATAGAAAAAAAAAAAAGCAAAAAAATGTAAAAAAATATATACTTAATTTTTTTGACTAAAATACCCCTTCCACGACAGCAAGAATAGTTATCGGCCGGCCACAAGTCCTTAGGTTTGGCCACTTTAGATCATGAGAAAATGAGAACACTTTATGCTCGGCAAAAGTACACCAGAAGTGCCATAACTTGCGTACGGCGATCACTTTGGTGCCATAAATTTTTTTCGGATCACTTTGGTGCCAAGTCGGAGGAAAAGAGATCACTTTAGTGCCAATTTGACCGGAAATCCGACGTGGCATTTTTTATTAATTTTTTACGCCGACATGGCTCACCGGAGGCTGAGTCAGCATGTACAGTTAGCATTTTTTATTTTAAATAATTTTTTTTCCAACGTGTACAGTCAGCATTTTTTATTTTAAATATTTTTTTTCCTTTTTTTTTTTCTCTTCTTTCCTTTTTCTTTTCTTTTCTTTTTTTTCTTTTCTCCCCTCCTCGGCCGGCCACCGGCGAAGCCCGGGAAGGGATGGGCGAGGGCGGCCTTGCCCATGGCCGGCGACCCTCGCCGGCGACAGGCGAGGCCGCCTCGCCGGATCTCGCGAGGGCGACCCTCGCCGGTGTCGGGTGAGGGAAGCCCTCGCTGGGCGGGCGAGGGTTGCCCTCGCCGGATTTGGCGAGGGCGACCTCGCCGGCGCCGGCGAGGGTAGCCCACGCTCAACTCAAAGCGAGGGCGACCCTCCCCGCCCAGTGCGAGGGCTTCCTCGCCCGACGCCGGCGAGGGTCGCCCGACGCCGGATCCGGCGAGGGCGGGAAGCTCGCCGGGCGGGCGAGGGTCGCCCATGCCCGACTCGGCGAGGGCGACCATCGCCCGCCCAGCGAGGGCGACCCTCGCCCACCCAGGCGAGGGCTTCCCTCGCCCGACGCCGGCGAGGGTCGCCCTCGCCGGATCGGGCGAGGGCTTCCCTCGCCGGCCATGGGCAAGGCCGCCCTCGCCTAGCCCTTCTCGGGCTTCGTCGGTGGCCGGCTGGCCACCGGCAACCGGCCGGCGAGGGGAGAAAAGAAAAAAAAGAAAAGAAAAGAAAAAGGAAAGAAGAGGAAAAAAATATTTAAAATTAAAAATGCCGATTGTACACGCTGGAAAAAATTATTTAAAATAAAAAATGCTGACTGTACAAGCTGACTTAGCCTCCGGCGAGCCACGTTGGCGTAAAAAATTAATAAAAAATGCCACGTCGGATTTCCGGCCAAATTGGCACTAAAGTGATCTCTTTTCCTCTGACTTGACACCAAAGTGATTCGAAAAAAAGTTATGGCACCAAAGTGATCGCCGTACACAAGTTATGGCACTTCTGGTGTACTTTTGTCCTTTATGCTCTTATTTGAAATTTTCCCCGAATTCTATATTGACAAGATTATGAACGTTTCATGTTAACGCATGAAATTGGTGGTTGATTTCCCGTTAGGTCAGAATCTGAAATTTGTTATTTATTGCAAGGTCTAATATTAGCTTCTTGACATATACATATTTAAATTGCATTCATTCAGATTTTTGTTTCTACAAATAATTAGTAGTCGAGTATTTTGAATTGAGCTTGTTTGTGCATTGTTTAATGGTGATACGTTACAGCCTCCGGTGACCACGGTGGTTCTGAAGCTGAAATTGCACTGCGCAGCATGCATTCGGAAGATTTTTTTTTTTTTGGTCTGAAACAAACTGATTTTATATCATTCAAAGGACGGACCACAAAAACAGAATTGACTAGAGTCCATACATAGCAAATCCCATAGAGATCGGGAAGGTCTAGACATCCAACTGGGAGAAAGGGTCCCTTTCCGGTGGGATTTGGCGATCCAGTCTGCGGTTTGATTGGCTTCTCGTGGACAGTGGGCCAACGAGACCCCTTGTAAAGGCCCAAGAAGGGCATTACACTCTTCAAATAGGCTTCTTAAAGCCCACGGGCTTTTTGTCGGTTGCAAAGTGAAAGAAATGGTGGAGGTGTTATCAGATAGAATACACACATCACACGCTGTTTTTTCCATCCCGTTTTTCATCCCGCGCAGCTTCTCCCCCGCAGCCTGCAGCAAAGGCCTCCTTCACCGCAGTGGCTTCGATTTCCAGAGGAGAGTGAGCTGCTTGCACTCTTTGCAAACCCGGCCATGAGAAGCCCCTTGTGATCTTGGCACACGCCGGCCACCGATCCCTCTGTTGTGCCGTCAATCCAGGAGCCGTCGACGTTGAAGAACCACGTCCCTGATGGTGGTGGTGTCCATCGTACAGGTGAGATCTTGTCCGACCAAGCAATTCGGTACGACTTGAGCCGTGCATGCGATAATTTCGCTCCGCAGAAGGCATCATCAACTATTGTTCCCGGATTGAGGATTTTCTCGTTGAAATACCAGGGCGTTCCTTGCTTTCCAAATCAGCCACAGTATACCCGCGAGGCCCTCCCGAGAGGACGGTTCTGAGGCTCTGGTGAGTGTTTCATCCACCCACTTGTCCATTCTTGTGATTTTTAACGGAGAAACGTCGACCTTTACTCTCGGATCAGACCAGATTTCCTTTGTCCAGCCGTACAAGATGAATAGGTGTTCCGTAGTTTCTGGGGACTTTCGGCATATTGGGCAAAACGATTCAGGTAGCGCCTTTCTTTTGTACAAATTATCTGATGTGGGTAGGGCATTTGTGCATGCGCTCCATAGGAAGAAGCGAATCTTTGGTTCAGTGTGTAGTTTCCAGATTTTTTTCCATAGGGATCGGGGCGATTGATATGATGATGATGCCTGTTCTGTTTTAGTTTGTGTAGCTGCTCTAAGTCTGGTGCACCCCTTGCCTACCGTGTACTCCCCTGTTGTGTTCCCTGTCCATATCTGTTTATCCTTGTCCGGGTTTGGCATAATCCTGGTGGCAAGAATTTCTTTCACGATTTCCTCTTGGAAGAGCTCTTGCAGCCTGCTTTCATTCCATGTGTTTGTCCCTTGAACAATCAGGTCGCTGACTCTCTGGGGGTCTTCTCGGTTAGCTAGGCCTCCTATCACACCCCATTCCAGCCAATTATCCTCTCTAATATTGATGCTTTCTCCATTCCCAACCTGCCATTTGACTTTTGAACTTATGGCATCCCTTCCCATCAGCAGACTTTGCCATCCCCACGAAGGCCGGGAGCCCTTTTTTGCTTTCCAAAGGCTTCCATTGGGGAAGTAGAGTCCTTTTAGAAGCTGGCTCCATAGGGCCGAAGGATTTTGATCAAGCCTCCATGCATTCTTTCCTAGCATAGCCTTGTTGAAAGTAATTAGGTCCCTGAATCCTAAGCCGCCGTCTATCTTCCTCTGTTTTAGTGTTTCCCACTTTTTCCAATGAATGCCCGATTTTGAAGAGTTTTGTTTCCACCAGAAGGATGCTATTTTCTGCTCGATTGCCTTACATACTGAAATGGGGATTTTGAAGATCGACATGGCATATTGGGGTAGTGCTTGAATCACTGTTTTGATCAGAATTTCCTTCCCCGCCTTGGATAGTAATTTTTCCTTCCAGCCCTCCATCTTCATGTTTACCCTTGCTAGAATCCATGCAAACATCTGTTTTTTTGTTTGACCCCAGTATGATGGGATGCCAAGGTATTTCCCGGTTTTCTCCATAATTGGTACTCTTAGTTCATCCGCCAAATTCCTCTTGAGGTTTTGAGGACAGCCTGCACTAAAGAAGATCCCAGATTTGTTCAGATTGATTTCTTGTCCTGAGGCAAAACAATATTGATTTAAGATGTTGGCCAGATTTTGGCACTCCCCAATGGTGCCGTCCAGGAAAAATATAGCGTCATCAGCAAAGAGTAGGTGTGACAGCGTAGGGCAATTCCTGTTCATTCTGATCCCTTTTAAACTCCCATCCTGCAATGCCTTTGTTAGAAGGAAAGAGAGCACATTGGCCATGATTATGAATAGGTAAGGGGAAAGTGGATCTCCTTGTCTAATTCCCCGGGAAGGCTGGAAAAACTCTGAAGGCTCCCCATTTACTTTGACACTAAAGGATACGGTAGAGATGCACCGCTTCACCAAAGACACCCATGCCTCACAGAACCCCATTTTCAGCATACAGGCACATAGGAAGTCCCATTCCACTCTATCATATGCTTTTTGCATGTCTAGCTTGAGGATCGCCTGGAACTTCTGTTTTCTTTCCCTTATTCTCAGTTGGTGAAGGATCTCCTGGACTATAAGGATGTTGTCTTGAATCTGCCTCCCACAGACAAAGGCGCTTTGTTCTATTGCGATGAGGTCCGGGAGCCAAGGCTTAAGGCGGTTTACCATTACCTTCGATATGATCTTATAACTGAAGTTGCACAGGCTAATAGGTCGGAATTGTGTGATGCTTTCTGGGCTAGGCACTTTAGGGATGAGAACGATGTGTGTTTTGTTGAGCTCTGGATCAAAAAAACCGGATTGGAAAAAGTTGGTAACTAGCTGAAGTAAGTCATGTTGGATGATCTCCCAATGATGATGATAAAATTGACCATTCATCCCATCCGGTCCCGGAGCCTTAGCTGCCCCTAGCTGAAAGGTCGCTTGTTTGACCTCTTCTAATGACACCGGTGCCATGAGTGCCTCGTTCATCCCCTCCAGGATTGGAAAGGTACATTGATCTAATACCGGTTCGAAGTTCCTGGTGCCTCCCGATTCATACAAGGACTCATAAAATTCAGTTATGTGTTGTTTCAGCCTATTAGGATCACGACACCAGAGATCATCCACTTTCAACACTGATATTTTGTTCCTTTGTCTGCGCTGAAGTGTAGCTGCGTGGAAATATTTCGTATTTTTATCGCCCCACTTAATCCAATTTATACGAGATCTCATGCCCCAATATAGCTCTTCCTGCCTCCACAATATTTCAATTTGGCCTTTAATGTGCTGCATTTCTTCTCTACTATATTCACCTATGCCCGAATTAGTGAGGGTTGTAAGTCTTCTCCTTAAAAGGTCGATCTGGTTGAAAGCATTGGAAAATTTCTTCTTACTCCACAGTACCAGAGCTTCAGTGGTCTTTTTTAGTTTGCTCGCGAAAGCAACTGAGTTGTCTTCATTTCCGACCCAACTGACCTTGACCAGCTCCTTACACTCAGGTTCCATTAGCCAAAATGCCTCGAACTTGAATTCCTTTTTCCGCTTCGTTATTCTAGGGGAGAGCGACAAGATAATTGGGCTGTGATCTGAGCCAATTGCCGGTAAGGCGATAGCTTCCGCATTAGGGAAACGCACTCTCCAATTAATGTTGCAAAGGACTCTGTCTAACCTTTTCCGCACTAGAGCTACTCCTTCCCTGTTATTCGCCCAAGTAAATGCACAGCCCTTACTTTCAATATCCATAAGAGAGCACCTGTTTAGGAATTCCTGGAACGCGACTAACCGGTAATGCTCCGCTCCAATACCTCCCATTTTTTCCCAATGGTACAGGATTTCATTGAAGTCTCCCACACAAATCCATGGAAGGGTATTAGCTGAATATATAGAATAAATATGATTCCATAGCTGGACCCTTTCTTGAAAATTTGTGGAGGCATGAAGGAAAGTTATGCGCATTAGGGTTCCACTGTCTTGATCTTTGCACGATATATCAATAAACTCACTAGCACTGTAATCCACTACCACTGTCACTCCATCGTTCCATAACACCGCCAAGCCGCCGGCTATCCCTATAGGGTCCACTATCTTTGAGTATTGAAATTGAATACGCCTTCTAACTCTGTCAACTGCTGGTCTTTTATTCTTAGTTTCCATCAGGAAAACTAAGTCGGGCCTTTCTTGAGCCACTAGAGCTCCAAGATGCTGGACTGTCAGGGGATTGCCCAGCCCCTGGCAATTCCAGCTCAAAAGTTTCATATAACCCCCGGTGGCTTATTAGGGCTAGCCACCAGAGCCCATTCTGTCCTTTCATCCACCAAATGGATCGGAGCATCAAGGAGCGTCTCCTCGTTAAAGGATTGGTTGAGAAGCTCACTCAGACCATGCTGGTTGAATTTTTTCTGTTTCTTTACTGCTGCAACTTTCTTGAAGGGTTTCAAACCTATCTTCTCTTTTCTTGAGGTCTTGACGGATTTGCCCTTAATAGCCACATCCATACGGGACATTTGGATGTCTTGCTGAGTGTTATCTTGCTGTCTTTCGCCATCTCCGACAGTTTGTGAGTACCGTTCTTTTGGATTTGCAGCATGTGGCTTATCTCCCAGTAGCCCTGCAACTTCATTACCCTTAGTACTAGGCATATCCCTCTCCCTTGTAATTAACTCCCTTGGTGTTTCCGGAATAAACTCATCCTCCTCTGACACAAGAGTATGAGTCCCGTAGTATATCTTCCAAAAGGGGCTAGGTTCGCGAACTTCCGATCTCAGCCACTGCCCGAACTTGCCCCTTTTGTTTACATTGAAACCCGACTCCTCAAAAGGGACTTCTTTGCAGTAGGTAGCGTAATGCCCTATTCGCCCACACGAATAGCAGAAATGTGGGAGCCTTTCGTATCTAAAATCCACCCAAAGTTTCTTGTACTCTAGGTCTACAATGGTCCCCGTTTTCAACGGGTTAGAGAGGTCCAAGCGGACCCTCGCTTTGCAGCTTTTGTGAGGGCCACCCACTTTCGATTCAAACTTCACCTCCAAAACTTCGCCCATTTTTCCTGCCACCTCCCGAATCACTTCTTCTGATAAGCGCCCTCGGGGGATACCTACTAAGTGAACCCAAAATGCGCAATGGGTAAATTCGTAACAATGGTCGGGAGTATCCGGGTCACCTGGTTGGAGAACAAGTAAGTTGCTAGAGAATGACCACGGGCCAGATTCCCACACTCTTTGCTTTTCCTCCAGAGAGGAAAACGAAAATGAGAATAACCCCGGCTCAATCAACTCGCATTCTAACATATCAATTTTCCATGCTCTCTTCATTGTGTTTAAGAAAGCTTGAAAATTCACGTTTGGTTTCGAATACAACTTCCCATACAGGGACAACTCACATTCTCTCTGTTTTTCTGCAGGGATGTCGCCTTTTAGCACTACTACGTCATCAGCTGACCATAGATCCCCCAGTTCCTTACACAAGGCAGCCAGGCGAGCATCATAGACTGCCTCTTTTTCCATCGCAACTGCTGGGAGCCAAGGAGGACTAACCCTCTGAATGGACCACACCTGGCATAGCGCTTGAGACTACCATTTCCTGCCTTTGAGTCTATGGGTAGCAGCACTGCCAGAGACGAAAACTGCTGAAGCGCCTAGCACTGAGGTTCCTGATTTGCGAAAACAGGACTGGTCCTTCATATTATGATGTCGCATCTGACATCCCAGATTTAGGGGATAGAGAGGTGGAAGTGAGGGTGAGATGGTTTGTTAGCTGGGGCTGGGTTATGAGAAGCGAAGTTGTGAAGGTTTACGGGAGAAGAATTGAGGGGATTTGTCGCGGTGAAGAGTAAGTGCAACCTGACCCACCATGGAGGGCCCCATAACTCTGACGTGGAAGTGGAGATGACGGAGGGGTCACCTGGAAGCAGGCCTCACCAAACAAAGACCTACCCAAGACTTGCTGGTGCCATTAACGGGAAAGGGCAAGCTCGGTTTAGGGCACAAGAAGGCTGTGCGAAATGGCAAGAGAGAGGGCTGGGACAGAGAAGAAATGGGTATCGGACTCTGGAGGGGTAGGGATTAAAGTGGATTGAAAATGGAAACGGGAAGAGTTAGGGCTTGGAGCAGGAGCTATCACCAAAGGGATAGAGAGAGAAGCTCCGATAGGGAGAGTTTTTGATTGTAGTGCCTTTTGATGCCACAGAAAAGTCGGGGCTGCAAAATCATGCATTCGGAAGATTGAGAGAAGAATTATCTAAAAAATCGAAGGTGGATTCGATTATTTTAATCTCGTTTTCAGTTACCTTAACCTGATGACAACGTTTTCCATGGTAAAAAAATTGATATTTTTTTTTCACGGTTGGTGAGATTTCACGAGATGGGCAATCACTAACTAATTGCTTTGGATTTGATCGCAGGATTGCAAATCGTTGCTTTCGACCAGGACAAGGATTTGGTCACGGTGACGAGCACGATGGACGCGAAGGTCCTCATGGAGAGCTTGAGGGAGAGGGTGAGTAGTCCGGTCGAAGTCGTTCAACCAAAGAAGGACAAAGACGGAGGCGGCAGGAGCGGAGGAAGGAAGAACAAGAAAGGCGGCGGGAACGGCAGTAAGGAAGAAGGAGACGGCGGTGACAGCGACAACAATGGGGCAAAGGAGATGTACGGCGGAGCCGGCGAGTATTTCGGAAGGAGCAGGATGGAGTACAACGGAATACCGCCCGGTTACGGCTACAATTATGGGTTTATGTAATTGTACGGGAACTCCTTGCACGCGCCTTAGATGTTCAGCGACGAGAACCCGAATGCAGTGACATGAAGCATGATGTCACTAGAGCCGAGTATACATGTGATATGTTTGGAAGCAGGTTTTTTGGAAGTAACTTTATATATAATGATGAGAATGGAGAGGAAAAATTTTTAGAAAGGGGAAGAAGATGTTGTGGGCGGGCGCTGTCGGGAATTTGCTTTATCATTATCTTTGTGGGTAAGGGTTGACTTTGGAGATTAGTTTCGTTAATTAAGTTTGATTCGGACTATGGTCATGGAAAATTGAATATTGGATTTTCCTTCCTTAGTTTTTGGGTACTCTTTGCTTCACTTTGTGTTAGTTTATTTTTGACTTTTGTGAACCGCTAGATTACTGCATGATTTGATATTTATATATTTTTATACTTTTCCTCACGCTTGGTCTGATCTTTTTATCTAGTGTTAAGCGTGGATACATATAATTGGGGAGATCTAGAAATATTTGAATTCACAACCTCTTATTTTGATACCATGTGAGATTTCGTGGGACCGGTGCCAATTGTTCTAAATATTCAAGCCGTTAGATGAATGCTTATCTGTACCTCATAAGACGTCTTTATATATGTGAAATTTTATGGGACCACTGTCAACTGTTCTAAAAACTTAAGCTGTTAGATGAAGGTGTGGTTTAATATTTATATTCTAACACTTCCCCTCACGCTTAGTCTAATCTTTTTGCCTAATACTAAGCATAGGCATATTTAATTAGGGAAGCAAAGCAAATGGGGCCTGAAAAGATTCGAACTCGGGACCTCCAGCTCTTATACCATATGAAATTTTATGGGATCACTGCCAACTGTTCTAAAAGCTTAAGCTATTAGATGAATGTGTGATTTAATATTTATATTCTAATAATATATACATATATATGTATATAATTAGTTATGAGCCTTTAGGATCTCTTCTCTACGTTCTAAGATTAGTTTCCCACGTTGTCAATTTATTCCCTAAGTTTTGGACGTCGTCTCCAAGGTTTGGACATCATGTCAACTGCTTATGTCACGTGTATGGACATACTTTAATTGGTCTGGCACTGTGCTAATCGTTTCTCGTGTATGCCAATTCATTTCCGTCATCCGTATGGCCATGATCTCCATCGCTCTTATATTTTGTCCAAAAAGTCATAAACATATCATACAATAACTAATTCGATCATCAACTTTTCAATTTAGTTAATTTAGTCCACAACTTTTTGATGATTTGCTAATGTAATTTTTTCAGTTAATTTTAGCAAGAAATTTCTGACCTGGTTTGCGGAGGGAAAGGGAAAAAAGCAAAAGGAAAGAAAAGAAAATAAAAAATTCAAAAAATTTAGGTAAAAAACCACCAAAAACCCCAAACTTTGCCATCTGTGACACATTTACCCCGAACTTTTTTTTGTGACACCAAAACCCCGAACTTTGCTTTTTGTGACACATTTACCCCAATGTATTTAGTCCATGGGCATTTTCGTCTTTTTTGCTTTTTTTTTTTCTTTTTTTTCCTTTCCCTGGGGGCCTCGCCGGGCGTCGAGCGAGGCGGCCCTCGCCGGCGTCGGGCGAGGTTCGCCCTCGCTTGGGCGAGCGAGGGCGGCCTCGCCCGACTCAAGCGAGGTCGACCCTCGCCGGCGTCGGGCGAGGGTCGACCTCGCTCGAGTCCGGGCGAGGTCGACCTCGCTCGAGTCGGGCGAGGGCCGCCCTCGCTCGCCCGGGCGAGGCGACCCTCGCCGGCGTCGGCGACCCTCGCCGGCGTCGGGCGAGGTCCGCCGCTCGCTGGGCGAGCGAGGCCGGCCTCGCCCGATCTGGGCGAGGTCGACCCTCGCCGGCGTCGAGCGAGGGCGGCCCTCGCCGGTGTCGAGCGAGGCGGCCCTCGCCGGCGTCGGGCGGCCCTCGCCGGCGCCGGGCGAGGGCCGCCCTCGCTCGCCCAGGCGAGGGCGAACCTCGCCCGACGCCGGCGAGGGCCGCCCTCGCTCGACGCCGGCGAGGGCCCCCCTCGCCGGATCCGGCAATGGGCAGCCCTCGCCGGAAAGGGGGGCCTCGCCGGAAAGGAAAAAAAAAAAGAAAAAGCAAAAAAGACGAAAATGCCCATGGACTAAATACATTGGGGTAAATGTGTCACAAAAAGCAAAGTTCGGGGTTTTTGGTGTCACAAAAAAAAGTTCGGGGTAAATGTGTCACAGATGGCAAAGTTTGACCTTTTTTGTGATTTTTTCCCAAAAATTTAAGAAATTGCAAAAATCACCAACATCTGCATCAACCGCGTCACGTAAAATGATCGGCGTCAATGTCAGCGATTTCCAGTCCAAATTAGCCAATAAGACTATATTAACAAATCGCCAAAAAGTTTAGCACTAAGTTGGTCAAATTTAATAGATAGATTTGAGACTTTTTGGATAATTACCTCTATTCAGGGAGCCAGAGTCAATGGGTGCTTTTTTTTTTGGCGTAACAATTCCATGTTGAAAATAAAATTGGTTCTTTTATGGGAAGATGAAGGTCAATTAATTGAATTGTATAGCTGAGCTACTTCTTTCTCACAAGCATTAAAACTTTCGAGGGCGACCGTACAAAAGACGGGGGGAGGGACACGCCCCTTTACAGTTTTAAGACCGGACAGAGAATGTGGACACCATTCACCAAATCCAGCTAACACTAAGGTAACCTCTTTAATGAAACCCAAAATCGAAATTGCCACGTGATCTGGAAGATTCTCATCGTGCGCCAATGAAACAAAAAAATATAATCATAAATAAATTAAATCAAATCAAATTATTCAAGTTGGACGTTGAATATAGTTGGTTCGATTGGTTAGATCCACGTTACGAAAAGAGCAGCACAAAATTCCACTATAAATAATCGATATATTATAAACACACTCGATTAAATTCGCTCCAGATCAAACGGTAATTACATGCGTATTCGAATCGCTCGAACATTCTTAGCGTTTTTTTAGAGGTCAGGTGGTGTCCGGATTGGTTTCTGTGCACCTTGATTGTCGATCTATTGGATATGCCTCGCTAATCAACCTTCGCATCCTCGATCTAACTTTCTTTTGTATGCGGATCTTGAAATCACTTATAAAATCAGATGAGATTACACGTGTAACCTTTGACTAACCAATCGACTAATTCGATTGGGCTCTAATCGCGACATTAATCAAAAGATGACAATGTAGTCCGATAAAACTTTGCACGAACCTCTTGTCGCATTCGCTCGCGAGCGCTTCAATTTCTTTTCCATGTTTGCCTTGCTAAAAGCAAGTAGTCGAGTTGGACACCACAGGCAACTCCCACTTCTTTTAAGTAAAGCTTTCCTCCCTCCTTCCTCGAAACCTGGACGCACCTTCTCTTTTCTCCTATGACCCGCCGCTAGATTTAGGTGCGACAGGCAGCGCCCGCCCGCCCGCCCGCCTGCCCCAGCGCGCGCGCATCGGTTTGCATATTCGGTGAGACCCGAACACGATTGACTCGACGATGGCAGTTCGATCAGATGATTCGATCGGTATTGAGAAGGCGTTAGTCTTGTCTTACCGATCGGAAAGTTTGCGCATTTGGTTTTTCTCCCTCTTCCCAAATCAATCATGCTGAAAATCGCCCTTTCGTGGGTTCGACGAGTGCGAATATGGAAGCTTAGTGCGTAATGTAGACTTGACTTTTGGGTGGGGTCATGGGGGAGGTGGGACACTGCCAATTATTAATTTTGTGGAATAAAACAAGCCCTCGCTCTCTCTCAATCATTTAATATGCTCCCAAACTTTTTCATGTCCCATTTTATTTTTATTTTTCATTTTTTTATTTTTTTATGCATTAGATTAATTAAATATTAAATTACGTATTCGTCTGATAGTTTAAATTTTTAGAATCGTTGGTTGTGATTCAGAGCTGGAGGTTCCGAGTTTAAATCTCTCCATGCTCCATTTATCTTCCCAATTAAATATGTCTAACTATTATCATCGGCACCGGTGAAATAAAATTGGCAAACAAAATCGAATTTCCATAAAAACGATTTTGTCAGAATTTTCCATAACATTGGCTTAGCTACGTCTGGTTGGAATTTTAGGAAAAGTCTATGGAGAAATACAAAAACTTTAAATTGAAAGGATTTTTGAGGATGCAAATAGTGTTTAGTAAAACGTAATTTAAAAGTATATTAGGAAGTAACTCTGATCTAAATAGACATTTGCTATTTCGTTTTCATAAAAATAATAAAAAAAAGACTGAACCTTTTGCCGGATGCCGGCGAGCCAGATTTGGCATCGGCTACCATCGCTCGAGGTTGCATGGCCTGAGGGTTTGCCGGTGCCAGATTTGGTTCGCCGATTACATTTGCAGGAAGTGGAAAACTATGAGGGTGTAGAATCTCAGAAATGTTAAAGCTCAGACCTCCTACACGCCTCTCTTGGATTAAGGGACTTAAGATGATTTTAGAAATGCAATGCAATTCCCTAAAACTCGTCGAGAAAATTTGTCAAACGCTTTGGCATTTGGCCTTTGCGCCTCCTTACCAAAGTGGTTGCCAAACGCAGCCGCGTTGTCCAGCAACTCTCCTGTCAAATTATGGGTGCCACGTCAGCGATAATCAAACATAATAAAAATTGTAACAAGAAGAATAATTTCTTGAAAAAAGAAAACATTAAATAGTGGGTGCGCAAACATTTCAGATCAAAGAAAGTGCACAAATCATGGAACACTACATATACATTATGGATAATGATACAAATAGTTATTGAACTTTAATCCAATGTGTAGTATGATCCATGAAACTTTTAATTTGTACAATATGATCATGAACTTCAATGGAATGTACAATATGATCTCTAGACTTTTGATTCATGTTCAATTTGGATATGAAGATATTCAATGTTGTCCAGTCTAATGACAACATTGAACATTTCATATAATTCGAGAACTAAATTGAACATGTACAAAAAGTTCATGATCCACATTAAACAAAATTTAAAAGTTCAAGGACCACATTGCAGATTGGACTAGAGTTCAAGGACCATTTGCGTCATTTTCCCTGTACATTGCTATGGTAATTATAACATACATCACCGATGTAAAAATAAGATATAAAAATTTAATGAGCGACACTATAATCTTTAAAGTAGCATTTTATTTACACTAAGCGACATGTGCTCCGATTTTTGTTTAATCCATTCATGATGCGTTCGAGATGGTTAGCATGCATGCGAATGCGCTAAGGCATGCATGTGCACGCAATGCACCCCGACATGCCACGCACGAGTACGATGTGGGGCCCTCCCAATGTTTCCCTCTCTCTCGCTCTCTGTTTTTTTTCCTGTCTTTTGGAACTTTACATAAAGTGTGGGAAGAAAAAGGCCGATGAATTCTGTATTACACCAAGGAAAAAAAAAATTCGAATAAAAATAATATAAAATAAAAGGCAAACCACTGAGGAAAAAGGGGAAAAGTTCAACGTTGTATTGATTGGAGTAGCAAATTGCACGGTGGCGTCAGGAATTTCGGATATTCCTAGTGGGTTCAATTATGGGAAATTGTCCGATCAAAAAAAAAATTATGGGAAATTGGGAAAAAAAAATGATTGAAAAATGAAGGAGATTGTAGCCTTCTTTGTGTGGAATCTATTGATTTCAAGCATATCCCTTGCATTTTCTATCTACCAAACCAACTCGACGGCCTCGAGAAGATTGTCATTAATGTCCACCAAATTAGCGGATATGTCGCCTGTGCCATCTTCGGTCAAGAAATCACTCGATAACCTAAAATTGAATCGAATCTAGCCTGTCGAATTTGGTGAAATGCATGTGGGTATCCACGTAAACCCCACCAACTTCATTGAGTAATTTCGCAATCTTCTGAGATGTAATCGATAGGATTTAATCTTGATTTTTATAAGTTTATGGTCTAAGAGTGTGTGCGCGTGCGTGCGTGCGGGCGTTGGTGGATGCTTTTGGGACTTCAAGGGAGGGAAAAAAAAAAGAGGTACCTAGGATTAGATTCCCATCCATGTGATTAGAGAATTCTTTTTGGAAATTTTCACACTAGACGTGATGATTGCATGCGCACATCCCCCATGTGTCGTAGACCTAAAAATGTATAAAAAGTAGAGGGCTTTTTTTTTTTTCCCAACCCCTCCCCTTTTACTTTCTTTTTCTAAACTTTTTTTCTTGCTTTTCTTGTTTAGGGTAGGGAAAATACCACCAAAAATCCCAAATTATGTCACTTATGACACATTTACCCTGAACTTTTTTTTGTGACACGAAAAACCCCAAACTATGCCACTTGTGACACATTTACCTTGAACTTCTTTTTGTGACACGAAAAACCCCAAACTATACTACTTGTGACATATTTACCCCACAATACTTTGATCCATGGGCATTTTCGTCTTTTTCCTTTTTCTGCTTTTTTTCCTTTTTCTGTTTTTTCTTCTCCGGCGAGGGCGGTCCTCGCCGGCGGTGGGTTGGGCGAGGGCTGCCCTCGCCGGCCCAGGCGAGGGCGACCCTCGCCTGCCCAGGCGTGGGCGACCCTCACCGGCGTCGGGCGAGGGTCGCCCATGCCTTGGCGGGAGAGGGTGACCCTCACCGGCGTCGGGCGAGGCTGCCCTCGCCCACCCAGGCGAGGGTCGTCCTCGCCAGATCCGGCGAGGGCGACCCTCGCCGGCGGTGGGTTGGGCAAGGGCCCTCACCGGCGTCGGGCGAGGCTGCCCTCGCCCAACCCACCGTCGGCGAGGATTGGGGTTTTTCGTATCACAAAAAAAGGTTCAGGGTAAATTTGTCACAAGTGGCATAGTTTGAGATTTTTCGTGTCACAAAAAAAGTTCGGGGTAAATGTATCACAAGTGACATAATTTGGGGTTTTTGGTGCCATTTTCCCTTTAGGGTATGTAGAGAGGTTGCCTCCTTCAATGGGTTGTGAAACTTGTGAGTGAAAGGTTAAAAAAACATAAAGTGTGATGAGGGTTTTAAGAGACATGACGTCAATAATGTGCATGAATTGTGTACCTTTAGATGATATGAGTATGTGTATGAATCCAACGTAAATCCGGTCAGTTTATACTGTTTCCAATTCTAGAATAGCCAATCGAAACGGTTCACCCTCGAAACCGCTCGGAGCCGATCTGATGACCGAGGCCCCATTCTTGGCCCGAACAGATCTAGATGCTACGCACGATATGCCATCGATCCAACACCCTATACACCCCTAGCAAATTATTATATACATGTAGATACGTAAGTCTTAGCATGTCATCATTAACAAAAATAATTTAAGATGCAACTCCTAACTTTTGACCATCGCTTCTTAGAAATCGACAAGAAAAACGCTCCTCGGCCTGAGGGTTTTGAGCTCGTGGTTTTGGTGGGCCTCGAGATCTTGGGCCGAGTCTATTGGGCCTTAGATGGGCTGATTTTGAGAGCCCGTGGCTGGGATGGGCTTTACCTAGTTTGGTCTTCTTCCTCGAAGTCGCAAAGCAAAGTGAGATGGGCCTTTGACGGGTCTTCTGTTTTGCTCCTTGGGAACATTGAATTGATGACAATTCCTCGCAAGAATTTAAGACACTCAATCCGGATTCGAATCCAATGAGCATAAACCACCCACCAACGAATTGGCATTGAATTCATACTTTTAAATGGGGCCGAAAGTAATGTTGTACGCGGCCCGTTCGACCGACCGTGCAAGAGAACCCGCCTTTGGAGTCGAGGTCGCCGCCTGAATCTTGCTGACCGCGAGCAAATTGCGGGGTACTCGCAGAGAAGCTAAGGACCGGGCTTAAGAGATCTGTGGGTCTTGCAGGGTAAGTGTCGTGAACTTTCACGTAGCCCAAAATTAAAGACGATACGAGATTGCGAGCAATCTATAAATAAAAGGAAAGTATAAGCAAGATTATTGCCAATATCTGCACGGCTCAATCAATACCCAAATCTTTGACCCAAAATAAAAATAGAAATCAATACCCTAATCATTGGCTGCCTAATCAATACCACTCCATCAGCACCATTTTGAACTTCCGATCCAGCATGGCCTTCCGAAGGCCGGGACATATGGTCGAGCTCAAATTTATTCAAGCGCGACGAATATATATAAATCTTCTTTCGATGACGCGATGAATATTCTACATCAAATGTTATCAATTCGGTGCACGAGCTACTCAAATCTGACCTAGTAGTCTGGTTGTTGAGCTTATGTACGGTAAATAGCAATTCAACTCATTTGCAGCTTATGACCAAATCCTCGTTGAGGTCAGGTGAGTAATTTCGCGTATTTTTTAATAAACAACCGTCCATTTGGTCTAAAATATCTGAAAATAGGAAAAAAGAAGCAAAGATACACTCTTAGTCGCACTTGGACAGAAAATAAATGGTTAAATTTCATAACTACGCTATCAGAAAAAATAATAATTAAGCAACACTCCGGATGTTTTAAAACCAAGTAGCATTATCTTTTTCGCATTATAAAACCAACTCGAAACAGTCTATTATCTTTTTGTATTATATTTTACACGTTAAAATTTATATTTTGTGAAAATTTCAAGAGTTCAGATTTTTAATTGGGTTAATACCACGAAAAATCCCAAACTGATATCTCAAATTAATTTTTTGATCACCAAAAATCCTAAACTGCTACGCCTGTGATAAATTTACCCCCCATTAGTTTCTTTTAAATTTTGCTGTCAAATTGCTTAGTTAAATGACGCATGGCAGTTGACGAATATATTAATTTGAGATTTTACCCTCCGTTTGTCCCAAGTGTATTAATTTGTGTTTTTTTTTTGTATTATTTCAATTTAATGGAGGGAAAATTTATCACCGATATATCGATTTGGGATTTTTGATAGTCAAAAAATTAATTTAGGGTGAATTTATCATAAAAGTACCGATTTGAGATTTTTCGTGGTATTTAACTTTTTATTAATAAGGTTAAAATTGCGCTGTTTCGTGAGGAATATTTTGATTTTAAGCAGACGCGAGAAGACCATTCTAACTGTACAATATTCCAAAAGGCGTCGGGGAGGGAGATGAGAAAAGTCCAGAATGCCCTTGGACGGTAAACAAAGGCAGGCGAGCCAATCTGCTTCCTCTCGACACGTGGGGAGCTTCGAGTCCCGAACCCTGATACGCGAGGCTCGGACGACTTCACACGCCATCGTCGTCCCCTATAAATACCTCGCGATGTCCCCCCCCCCCTCTCCTCCTGCATTCTCCCGAAGGCCTTCATCATCAGCGAAGGAGCTGCTCGATCGAACGAACGAACGAACTTCCCGTTTCGCGAGCTTCTTCGGGCGTCGACGCCGCACCGCCGCGCGCGCTCTCCCCCGAAGCCCTAGATCGGCCTCCGGTTTCCTCCCAGGTACCTCCCCGATTCCCCTTCGGCTCGGCGGCTGCTATCGATGCGCTTCTTCGGGATTCGGCAGGGAGGTTTTACTCGTTTTTGTTCGTTCCTTTTTTTTTTGTCTAGGGTTTGCTTTTTCTCTCGTACCGGGGGGGGTGGTACTGTTCTGTTGAAGATGGTGTCCGACGCGAGCAAGAAGAAGGCGGCTCAGAAGAAGGCGGCGGCTGCGGCCAAGAGAGGGGGGAAGGCGGCGGCGGCTGCGGGGGCGGCTTCGTCCAAGGCGGCGGCGTCGTCCGCTGGTGCCGAGACGCAGAATGGAGCGGACAAGTTGGCCGACGGCGTCGGGAGCATGGCCATTTCGGATCGGACGTGCACCGGGGTGCTCTGCTCGCATCCTCTCTCCAGGGATATCCGTGTAAGCGTGCTCTTCCGTGGTTTACTTTGTGGGTGGGATGAGGCGGTTTCTATCCGTGGGTTCTTTTTATGAATTGGCGGTCAGATTTGGAGATTGGGAGTTTGTCTGCGGCCGAAGTTTATGTGAGCTCATCGATAGATGTGTTGGTTTTAGTGAATTTCGCTGATTGGAGCGGGCGGTTGGTGTTTGACGGTCTGTTTTGGCTGCTGTCGAGGATTTGATACGGGTCGATTCTTGCGGAGAACCTTTTCTTGTTGTCTAACGTTTGCGAAGAACTTTAAGACTGGATATGACCTATTTCGGTCTGGTGATCGTGGTCAAAATCTATGGGGTGAGAGCCCTTTCAGCGAATGGATGAAGGAAGGAAGTTGTGTTTGAGGAGAAACCTTACTATGGTTTTTAAAATAACCAGGAGGCGCTTTCGGTATCTAAATTGTATTGAAATATTGCTGCTTGATCTAAATGACGATGCTCTGTGTGGTCGTTCTGGTAGTGTCCGGTGAAAGTGTTGAAATATGTTTTCGTTCATAACACTGTTATCCCAAATACATAATGACGAAAAATCTATTGTTTTGTCAGTGTCATTTGGAGCATGTCCTTGTATCTTGGCATCTTAGAGAGCTAGTATTTTAGCAAATGTGCTAAGCCTAGTAGGGTAGCTCACTGTACACAGTGTAATCACATTAGAACTGGGATTGCAGGTCTGGATTTACTCCTGGCCTGCCTCATGTCCCAAACATCACCCCCCTCCCGTTTGACCTCTTGCTGGATGCCCCGGGTATCTCTATTCTTGTCTCTAAATTAGGTCTTTCAACTGGTATCGTGTTGCTCTTTCTGGAGGGTTGTTTTCCTGAATAAATGATCTTGGTCAACATCTTGTCTGATTAAGTATGATTGGGATATTTACTTTGTTCCACCATTTGTGTAATTGTTTTATTTTGGGTCACTATATCTGTCATTGGACAGTCATGACTTGAGATCTTTGCTTGCTGCAGATAGAGTCTCTCTCACTTACATTCCATGGACATGATCTTATTGTTGATTCTGAGCTGGAGCTTAACTATGGCAGGTGTGTTAGATATTACGTGTGTGAGTATGTAAATCAAGCTAGATATTTTTGGAAGTTAATAGTTTATGTGACATTGCCATTTTCAATTTGTAGGCGATATGGTTTGCTTGGATTAAATGGATGTGGAAAATCCACACTCCTAGCTGCAATTGGTTGCAGAGAGCTGCCAATACCAGACCACATGGATATATATCATTTAAGTAGGGAAATTGAAGCTTCTGACATGTCTTCACTTGAGGCTGTCATTAGCTGTGATGAGGAGAGATTGCAATTAGAGAAAGAAGCTGAAGCCTTGGCAGCACAGGTGTGTCTCGCAGCCATCTGTCCTAGTTTTATTGAGTTCCACTGATTGCTCTGTGCTCACCACATGGCTGTATTATTTTGTTCCACTGTTGCTTGGTAATTAATGACATCTTTTCCCTGTTCTTTTATCATCTTTATCTTCAGGATGATGGTGGTGGAGAAGCTCTGGATCGTGTTTATGAGCGCTTGGAAGCTATGGACGCAGCGACTGCAGAGAAACGTGCTGCTGAGATACTGTTTGGTCTTGGCTTCAATAAGAATATGCAGGCGAAGAAGACTCGAGATTTCTCTGGTGGCTGGAGAATGAGGATTGCATTAGCACGAGCTCTCTTTATGAATCCTACTATCCTGTTGCTTGATGAACCTACAAACCACCTTGGTAAGTTGAATCAGCTAAGAGTTAACTCATTATATTGTGCAGCTTTTTCATTTTTGTGGCCTTTGAGAATTTGGTTTAGTCATTATTGGTGCTAGTTATTTTACTCTTTTTCTTAGGATCAATGGCTATTTCCGTGGCCTTCCCAGTATATTCTTATTGGTTAACAAGCCGAATGTGTGTAGTTCTGTGTAGTTGATGAGCGGACAAAATTGTCGAGATAATATCTCTCACCAATATACATTATAGGTGTGTTTGGATAGATTTCTAGTTTTTGCTTGGTTTAAATCTTGTGATAGATGCGACTTTTTTTATTAAACCCTAAAAACATGAAATATCTTACAATATCTTACAAACGCAATGTCTTGTGATAGAAGCAAAAAAGTACGTTCTTACTCGAACTTAATTCTAAGCAAACAGGCCCTGCATAGCTAGAGTTAGACCTTTGTTATAGTTAGATTATTGTGTCTATTGCCTATTTTATAATATTATCTCCCAATGTGCAATTTTTACTCAAACTTAATTCTAAGCAAACAGGCCCTACATTGCTAGAGTTAGACCTTTGTTGTAGTTAGATCATTGTGTCTATTGCCTATGTTAAAATATTATCTCCCGATGTGCAATTTTTTCTGATGTTCATCCTTTTAGTAACTCTTCTGTTGATTACGATCCCTGTGGCAGATCTGGAGGCTTGTGTCTGGCTTGAGGAGACATTGAAGAATTTTGAGAGGATCCTTGTTGTGGTATCTCATTCACAGGATTTCCTGAATGGTGTTTGTACGAACATCATTCACATGCAAAATAAGAAATTGAAGCTCTACACTGGCAATTATGATCAGTATGTTCAGACCCGTTCTGAACTGGAAGAAAATCAGATGAAACAATACAAGTGGGAACAGGAGCAGATTTCTTCCATGAAGGAATACATTGCCCGCTTTGGACATGGGTCTGCAAAATTGGCCCGTCAGGCCCAGAGCAAAGAAAAGACTCTAGCCAAGATGGAGCGTGGTGGGCTCACTGAAAGGGTTGTGAGGGACAAGGTCCTAGTTTTCCGCTTTGTTGATGTTGGGAAGCTTCCCCCGCCAGTGCTCCAGTTTGTGGAAGTAACCTTTGGTTACACACCTGATAATCTTATCTACAAGAATCTTGATTTTGGGGTTGACTTGGACTCTAGAGTTGCTCTGGTGGGACCCAATGGAGCTGGAAAGAGCACGTTGCTGAAGCTAATGACAGGGGACTTGGTACCTCTAGATGGCATGGTCCGGCGACATAATCATTTAAGGATTGCGCAGTTCCACCAACACCTGGCTGAGAAACTTGACATGGAATTGTCGGCACTCCAGTTCATGATCAAAGAGTACCCTGGGAATGAGGAGGAGAAGATGAGGGCGGCAATTGGTAAGTTTGGTCTGACTGGCAAGGCCCAGGTGATGCCCATGAAGAACTTGTCTGATGGTCAAAGAAGCCGAGTGGTCTTTGCATGGTTGGCATGGAGGCAGCCTCACATGCTTTTGCTGGATGAACCGACTAACCATCTGGATATTGAAACAATTGACTCTCTGGCTGAGGCATTGAATGAGTGGGATGGGGGCTTGGTGCTGGTGAGTCACGATTTCAGGCTCATAAACCAGGTGGCTCACGAGATTTGGGTGTGCGAAAATCAAGCAGTGACTCGGTGGGAGGGTGATATTATGGACTTCAAGGAGCATCTGAGGAGTAAGGCTGGCTTATCAGACTGAACTCTATTGTAGGACAAAGATGATGATCATCACCTTCTAGTAGTATTATATTGCAAAACGGGGTTTGTGACACTATTGATATCACCGCTCGAGGCTAAAGCATGGACCTGTCATCGCAGTTGCTGTGCAAGCCATTAGGGCTGGAAGAGAGGTAGCATAAGGCTTGGTTATTATTTCAAGCCTACATGTGACCTCCACATGATATTTTTTATGTTTGCTGGTCCCTTACTGCTAGTGATTTACTACTATAGAATGGCAAGACCTACTCCTAGATTTTGCTGGATGAATCTTTATGTCAATTCTGTTGAGTTTGAGTTCGACACTGGAGTATGAGATTGTACTACTACTTCTCAATCAAATATTATTTCGGTTTTCTTACTTGCGTTTTGTACTGTCCTAAACCCTGTCCATCTCGTGGCCACGAAAGGTGGATAGAAGGTTATAACCTCCATCTGTGTTCTTAGGTGTTGATGCAGGCAAGTGTTTAGCGGAGCAAACTCTGGTTAAATTGTAGAGTAAGTTGTGTCGGGCGTTGAGTAACTGTGTGTCCCGGCAATTCGGGTGGTGGCAGTTTTGTGCTGGTTTTTACATTGTTGTTACTGTTATCGTATAAAAACAGTGCTAAGACATCATGAACGGCAAGATGCACGGTTGCTCAATTCAAACTGTCTGATAGATTTTTGTGGTCCAGCCTCAGCCAGTGGACAAAGCGGTGAACACAGTTAATATTTATGCTTATTTCTCCCCTCTCTGGGTTGCTGTCGGAAGCAGGGGAGGCCGAGGCATTTACGATCGTAACGCATGGATTACATGACTCCTCCCGTGCGTTCACATGATGTAAATGCACTTCCAGGCTGTGGCTGAGTCGACCATATACATTTCTCTCCGCCGCTGCACGTGAGCCCAACACACATGCACCAATTTTCCAAGCGGGCCTATTTGGTTCGCGGACATTACGCCATAGATCGGGCAATCCTTTTCAGATGTTTTCTCATTGCAAATGGAAGCAAATATGTGTCGCAAATCGAAAGAAAAGCCTCGGTGGATCTATGCATATGTTTTACTAAACAAAGCTTTTACATAGGCATGGAGACTTCAAGTGTCACCAGCAAAATAGCAAACAAAATTTGAGTACATTATAATCGTCAGCAAAAACCAAAACATGGTTCCGACCCCAAAAAAAAAAAAAAAAACCAAAACATGGCCACACAGAGAGAGAGAGAGAGAGAGCCTATACAATCCAAACATGGCTCTCGTCTCGGCAATTAGTAATAGATAGTTCGGACATGCCCATTGCTTCTCCTCAAACTTCCCAATTCCCATGATAAAACCTGAATAGAAGACAACACATGTACTTCTACTATTCTTTCTTTCTTTTTCGCCTCCCATGCGCGAATGATTATTATCCGTCCATGATGATGGGAATCAAGGCCCGGTCGGGCTAGGCGTAGAACACCATTTTGATGACCCGAGAGGCTCGTAGTTCACGTACCGGCTCGGCGCGGATGAGTGCCGAAACCCCTTCGGCATGCAGTTCCTCAGCTGCTTCCCCCCGAAGGCGCGCGTTCCCTTGTGGTAAAATGGGTGCTTCATTGTCTTGTACCCTTGTGAGTCCGGGAATAGGGGGATCATTGTGCTTGGGACGCTCGACAGCATCGCCCCGCCTCGTGCCGCCGTGGCGGTGAAGCCTGCCGAAGCCAACAAAAGGAGGACGAGAACAGCTGATGAAGTAGACATTCTTTCAATGGGCAAATCTCTTGAACGAATGGTTCGCTGCTCTCTCTCTTTCTTTCGCCCCTCTAAGACTCGGTGAGAGATCAGGGTTATGCTCATGACATGAGTTTATGTGCGATTGAAGTCCATCTATATATACGAAAAGAGAGGGAAAAAAGGAGGAGGGGGTGTCTTAAATGGGCTCGTGAGAGGCTGATGAAAAGTGCAGAGATGGACAACACAGCTCATAGAGAGAGAGAGAGACAGAGAGAGAGAGAGAGAGAGAGAGGCCATCGGTGAGGTGGGTGTTCATGCTTCTTGCTTCTTCTTCTTCCTTTTTTTTTGGAGGACTGAAGGAGATGGGAAGATGCTCGTGAGTTCTCGTTATTGCAGCGAGTCAGATTGTTGCAGCTTCCATCTTAATGAGATACTACTGATCTTAGTACATCATGGATTCGATTTGATTTTCCTCAAGTTGTGAGAGGTTTCTCGCTCTGCGGTGGCAAAGGCTTTTAGGGCCTGTTTGGCAACTTGCTAAATAGTAAAAATTTATGTTCTTTTGTTCCCAAAATCAGTTTGGGAGCAGAAATCCGTTTGTTAAATTTTTTGTGCCCGGGCACAATTTTGCAAAAAATTATTTCCAGAATAAGTTTTGGAACAGAATCAAGAAGCAAAAAAAAGTAACTTCTTGATTCTGGAACAATTTTTTCATTTCTGATTCTTCTTCATTTTCTTCTTTTTTTTGGTTTGTTGTTGTGTCTTCGGCTTGCCGCCTGCCACCCGCCGGCGAGGGAAGCTCGCGGCCGTGACGGTGAGGCCTCGCCTAGCCAAGGCGAGGCCGACCTCGGCGTCGCCACTCAGGCGACGGACCTGGGTGGCGACGGCGAGGCCGGCCTCGCCTTGGTTGGGCAAGGCCGAACTCGCCGTCACCATCGTTGGCCACGGCGAGGTTGGCCTCGCCAGATCTGGGTGAGCTTGAGCCTCGCCTAGCCAAGGCGAGGCCGGCGGCGAGGGCCGCAACACCTTCGCCGGCCCTGGCCTGTGGCCGGTCGCCAGCGCCAGCGACTGGCCTTGGCCGAGGAAGAGAAGGGAAAGAAAGAAAAAAGAAAAGAAATAAATATTAAAAATTCAAATTATTATTAAAATATTATTAATAAAATGAAATTTTGTGTAGTTACCAAACGCATTTCTGTTCTTTTTCTATTCTAAGAATAGAAATTTTGGGCAGTTACCAAACGCCTTCAAATGCTTAGAAATTATTTCCGGGCACAGAATAAAAAAGAATCATTTCTGAACAGAATCTGTTTTCGAGCACAGAATGATTACCATGTACAGCCTTAATATGCAATGCACAGTGTTGTAAATATGTTCTCCCGGTGTATTGCAAAGCCTATCTTATCAGATGTGAAGATCAGATGCTTTGGAAATACCATCAGGATTCAAGGAAATGCAGTATGAATTCGAAAGTAGAAAGCTCTATGATTTGTGATCGATGGGAGACCGTAAAAAAAGAAGTAAAACTTCATTAGATTGTATATATATTCACTGAGATATTAAATGGATTAATGTATAACATATTCTGAATCATTTTCTAACGGGCTAAACCTTTTAAAACAAACCGATGCACCACTTATATGTCTCTAAAAGAATCGAACCTTTGATAGAACGAGGATCTTTCATGAGATTCGTTGATCAATCAACTCATAATGGTTTTGAGCATCATGGTTTGCACCTCAACTCATTATCAACAGTAATGGGTTGAGGTGGATTGAAGTTCTGCATCAAACATGCAGAGTTGAGTAACTCATAACCAAGTGTCATGGTACTTAAGTTCTCCCCTTCTGAAATTGGCGTGTTGAGTTCTATAAGCTCTTAACTCCTCTTGTGTGCTTGGGTGGGCTTTTGCCACCAATAAACCTACTTACACCTCTGTCGTCTCTCGACTGTACTTGTAAAAAGACAAAAGGAAATTAAGACATGGTCACGCTTGTGGTATTAACTGAAAAACAACGTATATACTTATTAGATATTATCATGTTAGCGCTTGCTTTGTTACTGTGTTGAAAATACCACCTAAAAACATTTATATACGCTCGAGAAACTCCCATGCTCAAAAGGAGGTTATCTCCCCACACCTTCCTTGTTGTTTGAAAAAAGATAGGCAAAACATTCAAACCTTGGCTTACTCAACAAAAAAAAATTTAATAAAAGAAAAGCTCCGGAAACTACAATTTATTGAGTATGGTAACCTAATTCAAAAAGGAAAACCCTAATAAAGGGCCAACAAACTTCTCTTTAATTTGCAAGATAAATAAGGATGTCTTGTCTTCTACAAAAGAAAGTGTAGAGATATAATAAATTAGGATGTTTATATTACACCTAAGTTTTTTGATATGTTGCTATTGGCCCAAGCATTGTAGCTGCCAAATTTACCTCCACCACATTTAAATTCTCTCTCTCTCTATATATATACATACGTGCGTACATATATTAGAACATTAAATTCGAATAAAAGCAAGAAAAAATCACGCCTCCACGAAGAATAAAGGAAGCGTCTGTGACTCTGCCCGGTTCTGCTCAACCACCAATTGCATGAGACATGTTATCCTTAGCTAGGAGGGGTTCAAAGTGAGGTCTACCTTAATTGCCAACCTGTCCTGCCAAGCTGGAGCTCTCGTGTTGTGCCATGTGGCGGACAACATTTAAGAGCCGCACCGGAAATCTGTGGCCTAACCTGCGTAGAATCATGGATGCAGAGGTACCCACGAGCTAACAAAACCGATTGCAATCTCACTCATCTGAGTCGATCGCACCACCGTCGATCGGTGAATTGCAGAGCGGTATGGCTTAGAATGTGGTGATTGCCTTAAATGGATAGAGGCGACGTACCTTGCAAGCATCGGAAAATTTCTTGCCTGTTAGCCACTTCGTTTAGAATGTATGACCATGTCAAGTCGAGATTTAGTTTCGCTCGATTTTTGTAGAACATCAGAAGGTTTGCCTGCAGATATCCGGTATTAGTAATTTGGTCATTTGGAGAATAACGAGGGCTTCAGAAAAAAAACCTCATTATCCATCCGACTGTGTTTTCATATACCATGGTAATTAGAATTTTAGCGCATGCAAAATTGTGTGTATTTGCAATTGAACTAACCCAAATTTTGAAAACTTACCGAGTGGGGGAGGAGGGAGGCAATGAAAAAAAGTGGGCCAATGTCAACATACAATATTGGTTTGTGATTCACGTTTATACCACACGAGCCTTTCATAAATTTTAGGAAAAATCTTAATTTTCTTCCATGTACTTTTGCATTCTTTTTGACCAAGTCCCCATATTTTAAATTTAAGATCTAATCAAGTCATTGTATTTTGACAAACGTTTTCATCAAGTCTCTCCAATAATAAATCAGGCTATACCCGGTTGACGTAATTGTCGGACAATATAGCAGTATGATGTGAATTGAAAGCACACGGACTTGATTATAAAACGTGCGAAAGTACAGGAACGACAAGTATCATCTTCCAAAATCTTACGGTAGAAATACGGGGTTGAAATTCATCTTTGGGAATTTCCTTCATGGTCAATGGCTCTTTCGAGAATAAAGTGAAACTACCGGGGGCGAGGCAAGAACGGTTCATTTCCGAAACCGTTAGCCGAAGATAAGAGAGACTACTACGTTAACTCTTGTCCTACTGTTTCCAACTTCCTGTCCTGAGTTGTGCATCAAGATGGAGCTCGCTGTAGTTGGCCATCTCTCTCCCGCTTGCTTCAACAAGAGTAAGATCACCCATTACTCCAATCCTCTTGTTGTAATGAACAGTAATTTCATGCCTTTAATAAGCACGGACCCTCCATCACCATTTGCTTTGCAAAGTAATTGCAGTTGGTAAGGGTCGTTTCTGTTGCAATTCTTTCTCTTTTAGGTGCCAAGGATGTGATCCTATTTAAGAGCTTAACCTGCTGAATCTTGGGCAATCAAGATTTGATGGGGGTTTGGGGTTGGGTTGTTTTCATTTGTGCCATTGGGGGTTTTTAGTGAAGTGGGTCTCCTGGAAATTTGGTGAAACCACCTTACCCACTTTCACTGTTGATCTTTCATGGCCATTTGGGTGGTCCTCTTGATTGATGACTAGAAAGACGGCCGCTTGTTTCTGATGAGCGAAACTTTACTTTTGATGGTGTTGTGGCTGGTGATGCTGTGATTGAACTTGAGTTGTCTTTTTTGTTGCTCTGCGCTGGAAGGCAGGATGGATACCGAGATTTTAGATAGCTATATCACGCATCCGTGTTATTGGCCGAGGTCATTGCGGCCTTATGTTAGACATCCAAATGGTGCCCCCTCCAATTTCTTGTCCTGACTTATGGTTTACTTCAATTTGGAACTGGTCCGGTGCCTTTGGCTAGCTTCTGTGACCAAGAGTTGCATCGAGATGCTCCTGCCTTGGCACTACGCCTCAAGGCTGCAACATAAGTAATTAGTATATCTGACCTTTATGGGAAAAGCAATTATCATGAGAGACAGCTAACCAACTGAACAGTTTTAGTTTCGATACCATATAGGAAGCATGGCGTACTATATGTTGCCAGGGCTCTTGAAGCCAATGTTTCTTTTTGATGTTTTTGAAGCAATTCGGGAGTCCGAAGGTAAAGTTCATGATGCACTTACGGTTTGCTCTTGTTTCCCCGCTGGTGTAAAAGTTCGAGACATTCGACAAAGAAAACGACCAGTATCTTCTGCACTACCAGAGACAGCCATTTCCATAGCAGTTGCTGCCACTGCAGTGGGTGCTGCTGCCACGCTTCTTGTAAAGAGAACAAAAGCTTCTGAAGAGACTGAGGTGCAATCAAGTACACCTTTTTAAGCAATTGATTGATATGAAATGGGTTAATTTTCTTGTAGATGCTAGCAAGGAACCTACGAATCAGGTTTGATGGTTAAAATAATACTGAGTATGGCTAACAAAAATAGGGGCTTTTTTCTTATGGTAGATTATGCTATCAAAAGATATCTCGTTTGGGGCACTTCCCTTTGATTTCTTCATAGTTCAAACTTGTCCTGTCCGATACTGAAGGAGATTGATGATGGTAGATTTTGCATAGTAGCTTGCTGTGGAAAATTTCAGCTAAATCATGATTTGAAGAGTGCTTATAATTTCAATTAGACACCGATGAAGGTCTTCAATTATTTCTTTGCAGAATGTCGTTTAGGTCAAATTTGTCTTTTGACCTAAGATCTTCATCAAATTGGAACATCAATTTTATCGAAGTTTATGCCAACAAACAGAAAATTATGCTTGCATACAGAAGTTCTTCAGAGATGCAGTACTAGATGAACTGTACCACTTGGTTTCACGAACTTCTGTCAGATGCCAAATACGTTAATTTACTTGAACGGAAACTTCTCTTTTCACTCATTTTAATGATACGACAGTCTACAATGCTTCTCATAAGTATGAGTCATCAAACAACATACAACAGAGCAATTTTAGAACATAATTGTGCCTAGCTGAAATTGACCAAACCGCTTGTAAACTATACAGGACTGGCATATTGCGCATGTTGAAGTTCTGTTTCTTATACCATCTTTGCCTGAAGAATGCAGATCCCTATGAAAACTTGTGAAGACTGTGGAGGTTCAGGTATATGCTCCGAGTGCAAAGGCGAAGGCTTTGTGCTTAAGAGACTGTCAGAAGCAAGCGCCGAGAAGGCAAGATTGACTGCAAAGAACATGGCTACCCGATATACTGCAGCGTAATTCTCTTGGCAAACTTCCTTTGGTACTCTTCTAAGTCACATTGTGCGATAGATTGACAATCCGATAATTGATGACAGGCTTCCAAAGAAATGGAGTTACTGTACAAGGTGCTCTTCCTCTCGTTCTTGTATAGCTTGTGGTGGGAGAGGAAAGCTAAGCTTATAGCTCTGCTGTGGTGACTCCTGACGGGTAAATGAATGAGTTTAGAAACTTCAGCCTTGTATAGGTCGCATTCAGCTTGGCCATCTTCAGTTTTGGTGGTTTTATTGTTCATTGCTTAATGTGGATGCAATGTATATACAGGTCAATTATTGTAAGATACCTTTTCTAAGATATACGCTTTAGACTGAAATTAAATGCCTGCTATAGAAACGTTCAAGATCACGGAGCTGATAAATTGCTGTCAAGTTTAATCTCAGTTCATTATTGTCACCGTAAGGACAACTTTATGTTGTTTCAGACCCTCATTATTAGGAAAACTTGTGAATTGTATGCAAAGATGCAGTATTCACTTAAGGTACATTTCAAAAATTAGGTTTGCTAAACAGCTGCTTAACTGCAAATCTAGTCATACAGTTTACTTTACCGAGATAACTGAGAAATGCAGAAGATGCAGAAGAGATCTCCAAAATGAAGGGTAAAAGGAGAAGCTATATATATCTCTTATAAATGCTGCATAACACAACTTTATTGTAGTCATTAAGATTAGACCAGGCAAATTTGTGTCTTAGTAGTATCAGAGTATTGTGTCAACTTTAGGTTTGACCCAAGCATACGTTGGTTAATAGTGTAATAGCTCTGGAAACCAAACACGAAACATTTTATTGAGCAGGTTACATGACACGGGACAATAACATGTTTAAGCTATAAACTCTTATATAATCTATGTAAAAATGTATCTAAACGTACATTAACATGGCAAAATGTATCTGAACGGATCGTGTTAACATGGATAATATGTTAACTTGGTTAAGTAGACGTGTTAAAGGGTGTCATTCGCAAGTTGACCATAATCGGCTTAAAAAGGGTCAACCTGCGAACAACACATTTATCGTGTGTCATGAACGGGTAGTGACACAAACACAATTAAGCTCAACTCAAACGCGCTTAATTATGCGTTATGTAAACGTGGTCAAATCGAAAATTGCCAGCCTTAATTATGATCTAAAAATCATGTAGTTATTGACTGCAATAGCTTGAGTAAGACAATCTGTTAAGTGCATGAAGCGATTGCTGCGAGTACATCTTAGACGAACTCATCTTACTCTTTTGGTAAATTTGAGGTTTTCCTTCTAGAGAGCGGATGTTCCATTACAGGAAAAAGAGAAGAAGAAATCCTTTGGCACAATCACAGTTGATGATGGGTTTTGGCAATTTTTTATGCTGACATATTAAAAGCACAAGTAGGTGATTTTTGAACCCCTTTTTTGGTAAATGCCTTGCAGCATTTGAGCTGGCGTGCTCTTTTACCATCAGAGGCCGGTAAAACATCAACCTTGGAAAAGCTTAAATTACAAAAGTAAGAAGCAAAACTAAAGGAAAGACTAGCTTAAATTACCATCAGTAGCCCCCTCCGCTTTTGAATTGTACTAATGGGATTTTGAGTCAAAACTAAAGGAAAGACTAAAGAGAGAATGTCAAAAATGACTGTAAAAAAACGTGAGTGTAACGCAGAGGAGTCGTCCAACATGCTTTTGTAGGAACACACACGTACATGGTATACCCAGTAAAAATCTTTGTGAACAATAATTTATAGGTAATTACTTTCAAATGGTAAGTGCATAATTAGAGGTGAGATGTCTCTCTGCCTGTCCAAGTCCGATAGGTTTCATCTGTTGTTGGGTGCAACTTATGTCTCCCTCGATCGGATTTGGATAGGGTTTTTTGTCAATTATTTGCATCATAGGATTGCTCTCGTATATTGTCTGTTCTTTATTCCTGATTCGGTACATTCAGATATTCCGAGTCAACGTCTCCTCTGGCACCAGGGAAATAATTGAGGATCCTCCACAATAAACTAATCCTCCGAATGAATACCCACCACGTCTTTGATCTGGAATATCCTCATTACGCTCTTCTAAGACTTCACAGGTGTATATAAAACAAAACTTTGTCTATTTAACTAATCAGATGAAGGGTCTGCTTTCTCATTTGGGAGCTATTGTCATTGAATTTTTAGTGACTCTAATGTTCACCCTAGAGTTCCTTTGGGTTTTTCTTTTTCTTTTTTAAACAAGAATAATTTCTTTCTGTGGATATGACTATAGAGAGAGTCAACTCAATGCCTCACCTATCTGTCAAATAGACATGTAAACTTCTAGCTAATGACCTAACGAACTCGCATGTCCGATAGGAAGCAATTCGTCGAATGTTTTGAATCCAAGAGAGAGCACAAGCTTTGATATTTGATCAAGCGATTATTTGTTCTAGAGATGCTGAAATTAAGGAGATAATTGATGAATAATACGTTGCCTACTGATACATAATTCGTTTGTTTGTTTTTCATATGGCCATGACATGTATGGAAACCACCGGGGCAAGTAGAAGCTAAATTCGACCTTGGATGGTCAGAATGTAATAGCGCAATACTTTTATGATAAGTGAATTGATGATGACACAGTACATGACCTGATCTGACTATGTGTGTTGTGTTTGGACCAATACGTAGCCACATCCCTCTCCAATCCTCCATTGGCAGTCAAATAGCACTCTCTCAGGGATAACAAGAGCTTAAAAATTACAACAAACTTGTGATTAAAAAGATGAAGACAAAACACAAACAAAGCTCTTCTTCTTATTGAGAACCTGGTGATTATAATCCTTCCCTTCTCACCATGACTCTCTTGGAGTTTTTCCTCGGCGAAAGTTCCTAGACATGCAACGGGGTCGACCCGATTGGAGTTGGTGCGGAGGCGACCTTCTTCCCGCGCTCGGAGCGGCTGTTCTCGGCAAACTTGAGGCTCCCTTGGTGCAAGCCCTTGCTCTTCTCCTCCTCGTTCCACTCAGACCCATAGTAGAACTCCTCCGTGGACTTCACTATGTCGTTCGATGGCGGGAAGAACATGCTCCCCCACTGTGGGAAGTGCACCAGGGTCACGGGCAGCGTGCAGCACACTATCATGACCCCCATGAGGGAGAGGCCAGTAGCTGTGGAGAAGCTCGAGCTAGTGAAGAAGATCAGTTGAGTCAGTCCAGAGCCAAAGTTCCCTCCTGCGCCGGTGAGACCAGATATGACTCCCAGGGACCGGCGGGAAATGAAGGGTATGATCCCGAATGTCGCTCCGCACGCCGCTTGAGCTCCAACCGAGAAAAGGATCATGGAAAGGACGGCGATCGGGAGCGAGTTAGCGCGGCCAAGCCAGATGCAGAAGACTCCTCCTAGGGTTTGGAGGATCCAGACAACCCACAATCTGCCTCTCATGCCAAAGTATCTGGCTGAATAGTCCGAAGCGAATCCGCCGAACGGACGAGCCACTATGTTTGCCATCCCGAATGTAGCGGCGATTAATCCGGCAGTGTGGAGATTAAGATTGAACCTGTCATTAGGCGAGAGAGATTATAAATCTCTTTTTCCCTGGACATTACAATATAAGGAGTTGCGATCGTTCAATGAAGCATGAACTTACCGGTCATAGAAATACTCGGCGATGACATTGTCGGTTGATAGCTCGACACCCATAGAGTAGCCATAGAGCAGAACAAAGATCCATGTCCTGTAGTTTGTAACAGCATACCACAAAACCTGAGACATCAAAATTTATTAGCTAAAACAATGTCCAATGACGATGATGATGATGACGACAAAAATTTAAGCACTTAGTTTCACTCACCTTGGAGAACTTATCCTTGGCAACATCACCCTTCTTTTGGAGTGTGCTCAAATTCCCATCAGGCAGGTCTTGGCCAAGAGTGAGGACCAAGATCCCCATGATCACATGAAGCCAACCAGGGATGAAGAAGGCGATCCTCCAGGCGCTGAAGGGCGTCGCGCCAGTTCTCCGGATCAGCTCATAGACCAAGGGCATGATCAGCTGAGTTGCGCCGCCACCCATGTTGCCCCAGCCGGCAGCAGTGCCGTTGACAAGGCCGATGATCTTGCTGTTGAACATGGTGCTCATCCAGTACTGGCACGAGACGAAGGTGGCAAGGGAGAAGCCGATCATGAAGCGGACGGCAATGTAGCCACCGGCATTAGAGACGAAGGACATGCAGAAGACGGTGGGGGCGCAGAGCATGATGAGGAAGGCGCAGCCGTAGCGGGGCCCAAGGAGGTCGCAGATGGCGCCCATGGCTAGCCTGGACAGGATGCTGCCGGAGACGGAGGCAACGCCGGCGTTGCCGATGTCGGATTTAGTGAGGTTGAGGTTGTCACGGATGATGGGGACGAGGGGGGCGGCGGCAAAGGTGGAGACGAAGCAGGTGAAGAAGGAGATCCAGGAGAGGTGGAAGGTCCTCATGTGGGGGTTGGCCAAGGAGAAGAGCTTGAAAACCTTGGCCTTGTGCTCAGAGTCCACGGGGAGCGCGAACTTGGCCGTGGTGTCGGTCGGGACAATTGGGGAGGCCACAGAGAAGGCGAATGTCTGCTCTTTGCCAGTCACTCCGTGCATCGAGCTTCCCGGTGCGCCTTGAATATCACCCATTTTTGAGAGAGAATGTAAATGATTTGTGTTAGAGAAACAAAACGAGTGTGTTCAGTGATTTGTGTTAAAGAGAGAGATGCGTCTCTGTGAGTTTGGGTGATTTTTGGATGGTGTTGTTTTGGGGGAGGTAAGAGAGAGGGTATATATAGGACCTGGGGTTGACTTTGTAAGATAGCCAACGGAGATCCCGAATGGTTGTGAGGTTGCATAGAAAATCAAAGGAAACAGAGAGAATCCACTTCGCCGCATCTATTAGTAAGAGGGAAGAGTCTCATCGTAAATCCCAAGGGATCACAAGGTATTTCAAATTGGGCCCCGCGCTCTAGTTAATTACAGTTAGTCGAGAGGCAATTTCCGACGTGAACATGACTCGAATATGTCACGAATTTGCTTGGAGGAACACGATTAACTCGAATTAGACATGAATGGACACATCGATTTTTGTTACTTTTATTTTTTCCAGTTAAAATGGCACGAATCTCCGATGGCTATATGATGGCCACTGCAAAAAAAAATGATCGGAACCTTAGTGATATGTAGAAATATGTCGTGAGACTATTATGCAAAAACTAATAATAAGAACACCTGGGCTGTCCAAGTTGAGGCCATATTAGTAGTATTGAGTTAATTTCATTCTAAAGATAGTGAGAATAAGCAAAAACTAACAGTAAGAACACCTCAGCTTTTTGCCCTTTTGTGGTTTGGAGGGCAATATTTACCCGATCTCTAGGGGTCAATCGACTATATTTTTGTTTGAGTTGACTCATATGCTTGTGTTCATAACTATAAGTTCAGCTGTAGAGTTGATTTCCTTTTCTGTCTCTTCGCAGTACTTCTTGCTTACCATGCTGTTTCTGCACACGCAAAATAGAAGCAAAAAGGAAAAAAATATAAAATAGTGATCCTACTTTGTCCGTTCAGGCACTCCATGAGATGTTGATGAGTACATTTCACGACAAATGCAGAGATTCAGAGATATTCAGACTCGTCCCGGTTTGAGCAAACGGTGTTGACTTCGATTTATACTTAGTTTATCCTTCTAGATGAACCCTAATAATTCATTGTCCTGTGTACTTGCCCTAAGCGCAAACTTGCTTGATAAAGTAATGTTTCTACTTATTCTCGATGCCCCACAGGATGTACCTCCTCCTACTTCTCAGGTCAAATGATACACAATACTATTTGTTTCCGCCACAATCTTTACATTCGCTGGGTCGATGGAGACAAGAATTACATGATAATGTCAAACCCCTACCCCTTCGCATGTCCAGAGAGCTCGTTCGGGCGTTTGTTTATGTCCAAGAACTTTAAAAAACAAGAAGCTGACCAAGTCTTGTGGACACAAGTTGTTGGAATCGAACCAGACGTTGAAGCTGTTTAGAGCCCTTTTACGTTCCTTAACAGCTGCTGTATCATGGTTGCATATATTTTATGTGTGAAATGATGACGAGGGGTCTGTTCAATAGTCAAAAGAACAATCGTTAAAATTAATGGTAAGTGCTGTATTATAGCAGCTCCTGTCGATCACCCTATTACTCATTGCTTAGTAGGACAAGGAGGAGGAGAAGGTTTCAAACTGTGGGATTGATTACGTAGGTTTTGGTCATGATGTTGGCTCTGCTTCTACGGCCTTTCGGATATTAATCAATTATGGTAGGACGAATAGCTTCTCGATGCTTTGTTAAGATAGGTCTTGAGATTATCAATTAAGAAATGGGATTTGCTTGATGAGTTATTTTTGAGAAAGGACGAGTGGTTTGATTGCTGAACATTTGGTGACAAAATGCGTAATAATTGAGTACTCGATGAAGTGCGTCTTTCATCGGTTACTATATTTTGTGGTATGGTCATACGTATATTACCGATGCGTTTGGTTATCAGATGGGATAGATTCCATGTTCGAATCACATCGTTTTTCACTTGAAATAATCTCGAAGCGACATGCGTTGTTAGGTGGACAAAGTCTTACTTGATGCACGTGGACAGTGGAGTTTGCATGATTAATAAATACAATCCTCCAAAAAGTAAATATCAATAGTAGTAGTGTTGTGAGAGATGATTAGAAGATTCAATAGGCGAAAGTGTAAATGCTTTGTTCCTCAAAATAATGTCCGTACAGGTGGTGAGGAATGTGCATTGCATCTTGCTGAAGTACAAGTGTCCCTTTATCTTCTCCCTCTTTGTTGGGAGATAAGAACAAAACGACATAAATGAATAATCATTTGTTTTATTTTTGTTCTTATTATCTTCTTTATCGAGACATATCCTCAAGGAAGTCAATGGAGAGCTGAATTACTTGACATCCATGCAAGCTTTTAGCACCAGTAATTCAATAGATGAAAGCATTTTTTTTTAAATGTTTTATCTGCTCATCTGCTCTGTGAAGAGATGTGCTTTGAAATGTCAGGTGAGCTATCAGTAAACTCGGTTAACTTGTAATTGATGTGAACGGCAATCGCTTAACATCAGACCTCGCATGTAAGCCGGACATCAAGCTCGAAATGCACGATACCATAAATGCAATGATGTAAAATAGATAGTAACGAGCAAATAGAATTACAAGAAAGAAGAGCATTGACATTTTGACCTTCGACTAGAGCTGTAATACTTTCGGAGATGATTAATTTTTCATACTATACAAAGAAGATTACAACCACACTCGAATAACTATTTTTCAACTTTAATTACACACAATAACTCACATAATGTTTAGCCTCATAATTCCTTACGAAATAATCTCTTAATTTCATAAAGGAATTAACACAAAAGATTTATTGGCCGTCAAACACTCAACAGGATGCAATTCGCAGTGCAATTGAATGCAACGGACATAACTCACGAAGAAGCCACTTTGCACATCAAATATCACATAAAGACAAACTAATGATCCAAGAAAATATATACACACAAGTTGTGAAGCCCCTTGCCGAATCCAACTTTGATTTCCATATATTTCCTTTCTCATTTTTGCTTGGACGAGTTGTGTGCTTCTTTTTCTTTAGTTTCCTAATTTAGATATCCATTGGATAAAGACCAAATATCTCAAGTAGGAAATTTCTTATGTAAATTTAGACTTTCACTTATGGGCTCAAATTCGAGACGTATTTTAGTAAGATATCCTCCGTAAAGAGCTCGAAAATCTGAAGGAGATTACATTGAGCAAGTGGGACAACAAGGTACTCATGCATCGTCAAATTGAACATGGGTGCCTCGACGCATTTGCTTCTTTCAAGCGCGGGAGAGTCTTGAGGGCATCCTCCGTGAATATGGTCTTTGATGGTTTGGTGTGTTAGGATTAATGAGAACTTTGTGTTTGAGGAAATAATAGCAATTTGTTTTTAATTTCAAAGATAAAAATTTAGCTGAAATTTCTACTTTAGCGTGCATGTCCCGTGCATGTCCCGTGCTTGTCTCGGCCGTTGCTTAAGATTTAAGGAGACTTTTTTATCTAAATTTTCAACTTGGACTTATATTAGGATTAGGATTTCTGGGACTCATCTATATGAGTCTAGCTGAACGGTTAGGTTAAAACAATAGGACCATAATAAACCTATAAAAACATGGCATAATCACCTAATGGACAAGACCTCTAGGGTTCATAATTTGGTGAAAAGACCATGTAGACATCTTAGAAAATAAGTCCATCAAGTTGGTACTGAAAGGGCATTAGTTCGAAATGCACGACGCCGTAAATGCAATGATGTCAAATAGACAGTGACCAGCAGATAGAATGACAAGAAGAGAGAGCATTGGCGTTTTGACCTTCAACTAACGTTCCGATACCTATGAAATTCGTTTTTCATGGATCAATGGTTCGAGAGTGGCTAATTTATTAGCCGATGTACAGAACGAAATCTAGTCTAGATAGAACCGTGTTCATACTACGAATACTATGAAATTTCATAGATGCACTAAACCAAGAAAGGCTTTTTTCGTGTTTTGGCCAAGTAAACATTCATTGTAGTGATGAAAGTGTCTTACAACTCGCAGAATAACAGATCATGGAGATTGGTCATATCAAAAAATAAGGGGTTCGGAGATTAATATCCCAATCCTCAGGACACAAACCCTCTTAGCATGGGTAGCAACCTAATCAGCACAAGTGTTGGCATTTCTACTTATAGGATTTCACTGACATTTCCCAGCTTCTTGCCTAAGTAATCCAGGGGATTGCCTTCTAGTTGACTTGCTGCCTTTTCAGGTTACTAATAACAGCCTTGGAATTTGACATCCTCTGCCATCCTTTTGCAGGTGATAGTTGCAGTGATTCACAAACAGTTAGGCTCTTTCCACCAATCAACATGCCATCATTTGTTCTTGTCTGTCACTCCTATCCCTGCACGAGAATCCTCAATTTCCATCCCAAATGAGTTTCACGTAATCTGTGACATCTCTAAATTAACTCATTCAAGATATTGTCCACTTTTACCCGTCTCATATTTTATCCTTTAGCGTAGAGGCAAGCACTTTCTCAGGAGATCGCCTATCCTACTAGTACTCTAGTCTTGGTTCGTTTAACTCGCATCCGTGAAATAATTATAGTTTTTATATAGATATCGCTCTCCTCTTGTTTGGTGCATGTACGATTTATTCCTGCCCCCTTCGCCATCCTAAAAGCTTGCCAAGAGCAGTTCCCTGTCCAAACCCTTTGGCCCCGGCGATCACTTTCCGCCCTCATTGGACCGGGTCATTAAATAACCCAAGTGTTTGGCAGTCCTCATCCGTGTCTTTGAGAGGTGCCTCTACCCTCTTTTTGCTGCGTTTCTCCGACTTCATGTTACAGAACTCGGTGATGGCCCTTTTGATCTTTCGCGCCACCTACACAGGTTCGGTATGCCACCAACGAAAGAAGCTTCGTTCCTGGCCTTCTGTGAGTACCGCAAGACAAAAGCCACCCTGGTTAGAAATTCCTCTTTCCTTTCCCTCGAGTTGACATTGCTCTATCAATTCAGCATCCATCCATCCATAGCTTAAATGACTTTTTTATTGAATCTCATCCCCAGTTCTTCAAATTCAGGCGCAAGCAATCCATTCGCAACTAAGGAACATAGATTCTCTGTTGTTTCCTAGGAAAATTTCAATAATGGCCTGAAGTGCCGTTATTTTCTCTCAAATAAGGGCATGAAGTGACATGTCAATCTCAAATAAGCGCCTAAAGTGGCCATAGTAGTTTCAAATAAGATTCTGACCTCGCCGGTCGCCGATGGAGAAGGGCATTTTTGTTTAAAGACAATTTTAATTTTAATTTATTTTTTCTATTTTTCCTTTTTTCCTTTCCTGGTTTTCTCTTTCTTCTTCGCCAGTGGCCAGCGACTGGCCACCGGCGAAGCTCGGAAAGGGCTGGACGAGGGACAGTGGCTGGTCGCCGGCCACCGAAATCAATCACCGGCAAAGAACAAAGAGAAAGCCAGAAAAAGAAAGTAAAAGAAAAGAAAGGAAAAAGAAAGAAAGAAAAGGAAAAAAATTAAAAAAAAGTTAAAAGATGAAAATGCCCTTACCATCTGGAAAATCAAACCCTTCTTGGAAATAGACATAGCCACTTTAGGCCCGAGCGGTGGCCGACGAGGTTGCTGGAAGAGGGTCAGCCTCGCTAGATTTGGTAAGGGTAGCCCTCGCCAGGGCACGACCTCGCCGGGTATCGTTTGCGCCAAGGCAACGCTTGGTGAGGGTTGACCTTGCCAGATCTAGCCCGAGTGAGGCCGACCCTCACCTAGGCGAGGGCAGCCCGCCCGGCCATGGCTGGTCACCGGCAAAGGGAGGAAGAAAAAAAAAAGAAAAAAATATTAAAAAACTCGAAAAAAACTAAAATTTTATTAAAAATTGTTCATGTGAGCGCCAGCGGTGCCATGTAAGCCAGCCAACGTCTACATCAGCAATATCCTGTCAAAATTAGCCAGAAGAACTAAATTGACACTATGTTAAAAGGTTTATGACTAAATAGGCACTAAAAAAAGTTTAAAACTAAATTGGCACAAATGCCGTAGGTTTATGACTTTTCTAACACTTTTCTCTTCAACTTCAAGTTTCCTAATTCAACACGGTTTAGATTTATCATAAAAAGTGAATATTTCCTACATATTTTCGACGAATCAATTCGTGTTAACTCTATCGCTCTTTTAGGTACTCCTCCTTTTACTCAATCTTTAGGGCAATATGTTTTATATTCATACAGTTCTCTTCTACGACGATGAAATCATGACGTGGGTCACCGATGAGCCCGCCGTCGTTAGCTGTTGGATTCACGAGGTCGAGCGCATCCACCGTCACAGGCTCAGTAGGCTGATCGTTGGCCTTGATACTGTGTGGTGCCTGACATTTGACCCCCAGAAGGACATTCACCGAGTCGCGATCATCCATCTCTGCGTCAGCCATAAGTGACTCATCTTCCAGCCCCTTCACACGATGTACATTCCCAGGTCGCTCTTCGTGTTCCTTGCCAACGTGTACTACACTTTTGTCAGAGTCGGCGTGGATCAGAACGCAAGGAAGCTAACCAAAGACTATGGACTCAATGTGTCGTGACATCCTGGATTGGCATTGGAGAGGTTGAACAATGACTTGTGGGGGACAATGGTCTCAAGGAGCTGTCCGAGGGGATCTCCATAAGGAGCTCGAAAAGTCGAAGGAGATTACATTGAGCAAGTGGGACAACAAGGTGCTCATGGATCATCAAATCGAGTAGAGGTGTCTCAACACGTTCGCTTCTTTCGAGCTCGGAGAGTTTTGAGGGCATCCTCCATGAATATGGTCTTTGATGGTTTGGTGTCTTAGGATTATGAGAACATGTTTCTGGAAATAATAGCAATTTGTTTTTAATTTCAGAGATAAAAGTTTAGCCGAAATTTCTACTTTACCGTGCATGTGCCGTGCACGTGCCGTTTTTTCTCGGCTGTTGCTTAAAATTTAAGGAGGCTTTTTCACCTAAATTTTTAACTTGGACTTATATTAGGATTAGGATTTCCGGGACTTATCTATATGAGTCTAGCTGACTGGTTTGTGTGTTGGGACTTATATTAGTTTTGACGGCATCATGGGTGAATAGGGTCTTTGATGGTTGGTGTGTTAGGATCGATGAGAAGTTCGTGTTTGAGGAATATATTTACCCTTGATTTTCATGAATTTCGCTTTGAAAAAAAGTAGAGAATGTACTTACGGAAATTTTGCAACTTATGTGATTGTCTGCGACTTATTTTTTCATCCAAATATTGTTTGACTATGTTTCATGAAACATCGTTTTTGTTTCCAAATATATTTACGGTACCGATCGTCCTTTCTTTTATGAAAAAAAAGGTTACGAAGCACGGATACACAGATAGATTACAATTTCCCTTCTACATGCTGCAAAAACTTAAGAAATACTCCACATCATATTATAATCAAGTTCTCCATAAAAGGCAATGAAAACTAATTATTGATATCATATTTCTTTTTCAGTTTTCAACCAATATTTTGTTAATCAAATTTATTTACCTTTATTACGTACTATTCTTTTACTTTATTGTATGGTGCTTTATTTTTAATGACTTGAGTGTATAGCATATTCTAAAATACAAGTAAGATACAAATTCAAAATTAAGAAGAATACACGTAAACTGAATCCAAAGTTATTGTATATGGAAAGATGCTCCATTCTAAAACTTTATGAAGCTATTATACGCTTGACTTTGGTGATTCGACATGGTTAAATAAATAAATTTTTTTCATGAAGATAAATAATTTAAGTCATAGTTTTCTCCGTATAATGTAGTCTTGCAGAATACAAATTAAACCAGATATACGTAATTAATTGCACGGGTAGCATCCGGAGATGATTCCACTTTTCATATTACATACTCTTAATTCGAAAACCAACCTATCTGGGCTAGATTCTGTTTCCCTAATTGAAGACTTGTCTTCCATGGATTTGAAAAATAGGTGTAATTATATATTAACATAGGTATTAAATAATCAAAAAAGGAATTTGTACCGATGGGTGAGATTCAAGTAATTTCAGTTAAACTATAGTACACATCATTGTGATTATTAATATTGAACAGTTATGATTTTAATTTTAAAAAATAGAAACCATAACGATAAAATAGTCCTATCTTGATTTTGCGCGCACAATTATGTATGTATTTGAGGATTTTTCATTCTTTGATTCATAAAATTTATGATAAAATAATTTAATGGTCTGCTCCTTGACCTCAATAGAAATAGCTATTCCATGAAATGTATGAATAATCCCAGTTTCCCTTCTTCGAAAACGCTATTGCAATTTTGGTAGTACAATTTTTTTTACTAATAGGATATAATTTACTGGGATGCTATCTGATTATTAATAATCACAATCTGTCAGTTTTATTTGTGGTTCTAAAGAATAACTTATAAATTCGATAAAGATTGAAAATCACAAATCAAATACTTAAAAAATATATCGTACGATTTATAATTACAATCTAATTTGCCGTTACTATTATTATTATAGGAGAATATGTATTTCATAAAGTTAATCATGACAAAAATGTATTAAATCGTATCATATTTGTGTTGGGCTAGCCGAGCACTAGAAAAGGAAATCACCTTTCCATTAGTTAGGGATGCTGATTGGTAATTATGTATTATGGGATTTTTCTATAATTATGTTTCAATTTACACTCTAACTGCAATTGACCACTCTTATTAGAACATATCACGCAACTCTAATTTGAATTAGGTCGCTATAAACACTATGTCGTTCATGTTTTGTCCGACTCTAAAGATCGACAACCGAAACCCTAAGAATGTTCCTCTTTCCACATCCATAGTTGCTAGAGGACACAACCTTATGATTTCAAAAGACTGTTACGCCCTTCACAGAAGGCAATGTTGATTTATCTGGTGCATAGTTTCACTTATTTTTAGTTTTTTTTAATCAGTACTTACACTTTAATTTAATGAACCCACCAAAAAAAAAAAGAGTAGAGGTCGAGTTGCGAAAAGATAAGACTCCTACAGAACCCGCTAAAGAAAAATACTCCGAAATTAAAATGCGTAAATCTTTCCATTACATTTTAAGATTTAAAACATCGACCATTGATTAAGTCCCATTACCAAGAAAAAAATATCTCTAAAATGTCAGCAAGCTCCGGAGATTTCAACAAGAATGTCGATTTTAAGTTCATAAATAAAATTTTGTGAAACTCAAAATACAGAAATTTTGTCGGTACGACCATGAAAAATCGCTAGGAAAATTGGACCGCAAGTTTAGACTGAACCGCACTTTGACAAAGGAATCTCTCTCTTAAACTTCGAGCAAAAGCAAATAACTTCGGAACGAAGTTAGAAGACAAAATGTAAGAGAGAAAGTAGATTGACTACTCGATTGCAATGGCGATTATGTTGGTCGTTGTAAAAGTTTAGAAAACGATCTACTCGAACTTTCCTAATTCAACACAGATTAGACTGAATGTTTCCTAATTCAACTCTACTTAGACTATGACTGAAGCTTATATGTATCGACATGATCCCTCCATGTTCATTCGATCGCTGCTTTACGTACTCTTGCTTTTACTCGAGATTTGGGGAATATGTTTTCTGTTCGCACAATCCTCTTCTACGAGGATGAAATCAAGACATGGGTTACCGACGAGCCCGCTGTGGTTAGCCGCTGGATTCGCGAGGTCGAGTGCTTCCACCGTCGCAAGCTCGGGAGGCTGATCGTTGGCCTCGATACCGAGTGGTGCCCGAGTTCCAAGTCCAATAGCGACTTTGACCGGGTGGCGACCCTCCAGCTCTGCGTCGGCCACAAGTGTCTCATCTTCCAGCTCCTTCACGCGAGGTATATTCCCGAGTCGCTCTTCGTGTTCCTCGCCAATGCGAACTACACTTTCGTCGGAGTCGGCGTGGATGAAGATGCGAGGAAGCTCACCAATGACTATGGACTCGACGTGTCGTGCACCATCGACATCCGTGGACTGGCAGTGAGGAGGTTGCGGAACGACTTGTGGGGTTACAAGGGTCTCAAGAAGCTATCCAAGGAGATCCTCCATAAAGAGCTCGAAAAGCCGAAGGAGATTACATTAAGCAGGTGGAACAACAAGGCGCTCACGGATCGTCAAATTGAGTACGGTTGCCTCGACGCCTTCGCTTCTTTCGAGCTCGGGAGAGTTTTGAGGGCATCGTTGGTGAATAGGGTCTTTGATGGTTGGTGCGTTAGGATCGACGAAAGCTTCTTGTTTCGGGAAGATATATACCCTTGATCTTCACGAATTTCACTCAAAAAAGTTTAGGGAAACGTACCAACGAAAAGTTTGCAGCTTTTATAATTGTTTCTGACATACTTTTTCATCCAATTGTTGTTTGACTATGTTTCATGAAATGATCATAGTTTTCTTTCCACTTATATTTTCTGTACCATTCTATTCATGTGTAATCTCTAACATACTCAAACTTTTCACTTGGAAAGACGGCTAGTGCTCCTTCTTTTATTGAAAAAAGTTGGTTTTATTATCCGTGCTTTGCAGGGATATGTTATCAGTTCCCATTCTAAAAGCAATGTAAAGCAATTATTGATGTGACAATTTCCTTTCTCTTTAGTTCCTAGCCAGTTTTGAGGGCATCATCGGTGAATGGAGTCTTTGATGATTGGTGTGTTAGGATTGACGACAACTTCTCGTTTAAGGAAGATATTTACCCTTTGATCTTCATGAATTTCACTCTGAAAAGTTCAGAGAATGTACCCACGAAAATTTTGCAGCTTTATAAGATCGTTTGTGACTTTTTTTTCATGCAAATATTGTTTGACTATGTTTCATGAAATGGTCATCTTTCCCAATATATCTACGGTACTATTCTTTAACTTCATTGTATTGTGATTTGAGCAAACAGAATCCAAGGTAATTGGATTTGGAATTAGACTTCGTTGTAAAACTTTATGAAGCAATGAAAACTTTTGATTAATAAAGATTATATTCGCTTGACTTTTGTAAAATAATACTATATCGATTTCGCGCAAGCAATTATTTATGTACTTGAGGATTTTCTTATATGAATGCTTTAAATCTTCTTTTCTTGGCTTTTTCATGTACATGAAGTGTGCCCTTTTGCTAGTCTAGGTTATTTCTCTAATTAGTTCGGCAAGTGAACAGAAGAAAAGTCGAAAAAAGCTTACTTTAGGAGATATCGTCTTTAACATATAGGATCTTGTGATCAAGTGGGCCTTCACTTAACAACATGATTTTTTGTAAAGAATAATTATTAAATTATCGGTCTATTTCTGATGAAATAGCAATTCTTTTGTTGTTTTTTCAGAGTTTATCAGGAACTACTGTTCATGTGGGATAGCTATCTTTTTCTTATTTGTGATGTTGAACAACAACATTTAAATTCAAGAAATTCTACAAATTGAATAATGATAAATGTTACTGTGAAATCAATAATTAACAATCTAGACTGTATTTGGTTTTTATAACTTATGAATTGTTACAGGAGGATATGTATTTGATAGAATTTATCATATAACATTTATGATATCGTATCGTATTTATTAAGAGGAAATTAACTTTCCACCAGTAGTTGGTGTCGATCGGAAACCTAAAATTTTCTTATTTCCAGATCCATAAATAGCTAATGGCACGACCTTATTATTTTAAAAGACTAGTTTGCCCTTCACAGAAAAGGAAAGGGCATTGGTTGGTTACTTCTCCATGGAGAAAATTCTTAAGAAAATCATCAACCTTAAAAAACAATGTTGCTTTATTTGGGCTAATTAAAAAAAAAAAGCACTAACTTTATCTTGAGTGACAATTTTGGTCCAAACTTTTTTTTTGTTTTAATAAAAAAACACCAACTTTTACTTGAGTTTCAAATTGTTCGGGTCAGATTTGAGATTTAAGTAAAATTTTGTGATTTTTTATAAGATAAAAAAAATTTATGCCAGAATTGTCAGTCAAGGTACGCTTTTTTTTTGGAATTAGGCCTGCTTTATATTGAGTATAGTTTCTCACTTGTTATCTTTTTTTTATTAGTACCTGCGCTTCTATAAACCCACCAAAAAAATAGAGGTCGAGTTGTGAAAAATACTCTTGTAGATATCGCAAAAAAAAAAATGCCCCAAAATTAAAATTACAAATATTTTCATTTCAATTCAAATTCAATGTGTCAAGCATTAATAAAGTCCAATTACCATCTACAAAATTTTTAAAATGTCAGCAAGCTCCAGAGCATTTAACGATTTTTGTGAAATTCAAAGAACAAATATTTAATTAGCACGTTTATTAAAAAAAAATTCGATTGAAATATATCGAGAAATCTCAGCCGTTCCTCTTAAAAAATTACGTATCTCCACAGAAAAGGAAACTAAGTTTTTGGGACGAGAGAGAAAGTGAATATTTCCTAATTCAACTCAACCGAAGCCTATATATATATATTGCATGATCTCTTCGTGTTTATTTCATCGCTCCTTTACGTACTCTTGCTTATGCTCAAGTGAGATTATGTTTTCCATTCACACGATTCTCTTCTACGGCAATGAAATCACGACATGGGTCACCGACGAGCCCGCCGTGGTTACCTGCTGGATTCGCGAGGTCGAGCATGTCCACTGTCGCAGGCTCGGTAGGCTGATCGCCGGCCTCGGTACTGAGTGGTGCGTGAGTTCCGAGCCCAATGACGGCATTTACCGGGTCGCGACCCTCCGGCTCTGTGCCGGCCATAAGTGCCTCATATTCCGGCCCCTTCACGCGAGGTACATTCCCAGGTCGCTCTTCGTGTTCCTCGCCAATGCAAACAACACTTTCGTCGGAGTCGGCGTGGCTGAAGGGGCGAGGAAGCTCGCCAAAGACTATGGGCTCTACGTGTCGTGCACCGTCGACATCCGCCGATTGGCAGCAGAAAGGTTGCGAAACGACTTGTGGGGTTACAAGAATCTCAAGGAACTGTCCAAGGAGATCCTCCATAAAGAGCTCGAAAAACCAAAAGAGATCACTTCGAGCAGGTGGGACAAGAAGGCACTCACGGATCATCAAATAGAGTACGGATGCCTCGACGCGTTCGCTTCTTTCGAGCTTGGGAGAGTTTTGAGGGCATCATCGGTGAATAGGGTCTTCGATGGTTTGGTGTGTTCAAATTGATGAGAACTTCGTGTTTAAGGAAGAAATTTACCCTTGATGTTCATGAATTTCACTCTGAAAATTTCAGAGAATGTGTTTAGAAAGAATTTGCAACTTATATGAATTGTTTTTTCATCCAAATATTGTTCGACCAATGAAATCATCATCGTGTTTTTCCAACTATACTTATGAAATTTCTTTTATGAAAAAAGATTAATTTTAATACCCGTGCTCTACATGGATAATTCCCCTTCTACATGTGGCAAAAACTTGAGAAATACTTTATATCATATAATAATCAATTTCTCCATAGAAAGCAATGAAAACTAATTATTGATGTCATATTTTCTTATTTTTAGTTTTCAACCGATTTTTTGTTAATCATTTTTTTTTATATTTATCATGTACTATTCTTTTGCTTTATTGCCTGGTGATTTACTTTAATGACTTCGTAGTGTCTAGCATATCGTCTTATATAAAATACAAATACAAATTAAGAAAAATACACGTAATATAATATAAAGTAATTGAATTTAGAATGATAATCCGTTCTGAAACTTTATGAAGCAATGAAAATTTTAGTCGATAAGGTTATATAGCTTCACTTTGGTAATTTGGGATGGTTATATTAACAAATTTAAGTATTAGGTTTCTACGTATAACACAGTCTCGTAGAATACGAATAAAACCATATATAAGTAACTGCACAATGTAGAATCCCGAGATGATTTCGGTTTTCATATTACATATTCTTAATTCAGAAAACAACCTATGTATGGTCCATTTGTTTCACCGAAAGTTTCTTGTCGCTGGAAAATAATTTTAGAAAATTCAATTTTAAAGAAAGTAGACCTTGTGCTGAAAACAAATTGAAAAATTTTGTTTTATGATATTGGCTATTAAGTGAATCCCTTAAGGCGGTTTTTATATTTATAAATGTAAGCTGTTTTGATGGATTACAAAATAAACAAAGAAGATGTTGATTCTAGTTTGTTAGTCATTTTATGCATTTATAACGATACTAACTGTTTTCAGTGGGTTCACTTATTAATAAACATTGTAAAATCAATTTTTTGAACTTGTTTTCAACATAAACAAACACCAAAAAGATGGTTTTACTTTTACTTTCTCTAAGCTTGAATTTTCTAAAAATATTTCCAAAGACAAAGGCCAGATCCTGCTTCCTAATTAAATACTTGTATGTTGAATGGATCTAAGTGTAATTGTATGCCAAAAAATTTATGTATTAAATAACCAAAAAGAATTTTTGTTGTATCAATGAGTGAATTTTAAATATTTTGTGTTAAACTGTATCATTTAATTTGTGTTGTAATTATGTATATATTGTTGTACAAAATGTATTTCCCGGTCTAATATAAAGTTTCCAATCGCTCCAAATCACCGAACCCTACACACATCCCTACCACAAGCCTTAGCTGAAAAGAAACTCTCAAATGTTAATTATCGCTCCGGTTGCTACTAGTTTTATGATTAGCGCTATTTCTTAAACTGACTCTAGAACGTCAAAAGTTGCTTTGTAAAGCAATTCCAAGCGCGATCTTAGAAGGGGCAAGAAGAGCATCCCTCCCAATGCTCAATCCAAGCACTAGAGACTACTTGTATTGTAAACAAATGATGTCGAATGACATGGAGCATCAACCAAGCACAGGATGAACCTCTGAGAAACAATAAGTATTCGGCTTAGCTACTTCGAGTCATTTTCTTTTCGAGGTACTACCGTCGCATGAAGGACAATCGAATCGTAACCCGATGAAACGTGAAAATAAATTCCATCAAGAGCTGGTCCCCCCTCTTCTCTGAACTGCTTTGTACAACACGACACTGACGTACTTGGAATGGAAGCGGTGGGTGAACCCGAGAGCCACGACGGAGCGCGGAGCCTCCTGGTTCTCGATGTAGAGGTGGTTTAGAAGCACGCTCATGGGAGGTGGAAGGCTTTCGGAGGCATCTCTGGTCGCAGGGCAGCCGAGCAAAGGGTTCCGAAGTTGCTGCGGAAAGAGAGGCGGGTCTCGTGCCTCATCTTCGTTCATGGCATACGCGCTGTTGTAACTTGAATCGGGGGATCTTGGAAGCTCAAAACCCACCACGGTTCGTTCTTCCTGCACAAATAATTACTCCATTTATTTATTTAGCAAAAAAAAAATTACTCCATTTATTTTACTTCAGCAAGGTCAAGCTATGTAACTACAGAGGCTCACAACTTACGGGATCCTCAGGACACTGATTACTCATCTTGAGAATGACACAAGTCTAGCAGCAAATATTCATCAAGGAGCGAATTTATGCTATTGATAAACCTGGAAAAGTGACAATGATTAGAAAGGCCTACATAATAGAGTATCTGGGGGAACAAAACAACCAGAAAAGGCGAGAAACTAATGAAAAGACAAGAAAGAAAGATCTGATCAATTGCTTCATCACAATCCATAGTTACTGTAAAAGGATTATAGATCCCAAGAAGCACGCATAACGTGAAATATCCTTTAAGATAAAATTTAAGCATAGAGAGCAAGACAGTACAATTACAAGCAGACCTATTTTTATGCCATTGGAAATTCTAGGAAGTAATAGAAAGGGAATGAAGAGTACCAAGGACTTAACCACTGCAGCTGGCAACAAGGAAAGACTATGTTGAAAGACTTGTAATGGCCATGAGAACCAGTTCTAAATCCAAACGGGCTTAAACACCATCCTCCCATCCGTACCCTGACCTCAGACCGTGGTCGTCAAAGGCGGCGCATAGGCCCCAGTCAAAGGTCGTTGCCAGCCGCTGAGAGATTGCAGATGAGCAGAGGAAGGAGGGAGAGAGACATAGTGAACCAAGAGAGGAGGAAGAGCCGAGCATGAACAGAGGGGGAGGGGCCGACGGTGGCGAGGAGGGGGTTGACAGCAAGCGGACAGTGATGGGTGGTAGAAGAGAGATGAGGGTTTGTTGGTATGGAGGCTAGGGTCTGTGGGGATTGAGATGCTTGGGATTTGCACGGAGGCAAATTGATGTTTTCAGTGAGATTTGTCTGAAAGTATGAGAGTTGTATTTTTAAAGAATAATGATATGTAAGTGTTCATAGGACAAAATGTGAAGTTTGTTTTTGGTATTTTCCCATTAATTTATGATAGTACTGAAATAAGACAAACTCAATTAAGCAATTCAAATCCTACTGTAAATGAAATGGGTCAATAATTTTTTGTGTGTATGTTTAAATGCGATTGTTTTAAAGGAAAAAAAAAACTTTGTTGAAATATCTTACATGTCAAAGTTCAACTATATCTTCTCCTTTATCATACATCTTAGTCAAAACTTCGTATTAAGCAGTGTATTTTGCTTATTATGCCTATTTTCGCAAAAAACTAAGTTCAGGTCATTTACCAAATTTTATAACTCAATCCACTTCGATTGTAAATCCACTATTCATAAATTTGATAATTCAATTCACCATTTGTATCTCGATGTGAAAAGCGGTTTGCCATGTCACATGTTATATATATAAATTGTATCCTTCTCCATTTTCAAGCATGGAAACTTGCGCTCACTAAGGCATACCAGGGGGGAAAAGCTATAATCTTGTATGATATTGAATACAATGAAAATAATCCATGTTCAGTGAGTAAGAGCTTGAAAATACTATTAATCATAAATGAGAGAGTAGAGCAGATTGTACAAGTCCTTGACTTGAGCTAGAATTTATTTAATCATATATTTTTAACATGCCAACCCTGTGCCAAACTCCAAGTGGAGCGAGTTGCATGCAGCAAAATGTAGTATTGTTTAAGTTCAACAAATTAAGGGGAAAAAAGGTATAACTGCCCAAGTGCAAAGCATAGAAGGGAAAATTAGGACAGCTTCCACCTGTTAGAATTAGAAAATAGGGTCACTAGAACTAACTATGCAGGGAGTGTTGATTGAAGTCGAAGGGAGACAACACACAGCCAGAGAAAAACAGAAACTAGAGCAGTTTACAATTAAACCCTCCTAAACTCCATCGCTAGATTTTGCATAATATGCTCCCAAAAGGCAAAGAAAAATTTTAGGTGACTTGGTGCAAAGGGCACAATATGCTGTATACTTTTGGAAATAGATTGCCAGATGTACTTTGTCCGGAAGAATCGGCATTGGACGGAAAAAGTGCCCAAAAAAGGAATTCCAAGGTTTCAATATGTTCATCACCTAACTCCAAGTTTACTAACCTAGGTTTCAAGAATCTAGTATATCTCATTTTCAACCATCAAAAGATAGGAAGAAAAATAGTTACAAAACTGATAGAATGGAGGAGCCTTTCTTGAGCATATCCATACTGATAACCCAAGCATTCATCAAATAAGGTCTAAGAAGAGTTAACCCATGGGTCAGTTGACAAGGAACCAAGCCTTGTATATATGCTCTCGTAACAGTCTAAGCTCCAAATATCTCAGATTGCCCAAGCTCAAGCCTCAATGGAGGGCAATTATTTCAACACAAGTCAGAGAAGACCTGCAATCATTCAACTTTGAACTCCTGTACTTGGTGCTGGCACAAACTTGCTGTGCGCTGGACTGTCCAACAGAACATTTTACCAGAAAATAGACTGGTAAGAACCAGAAAATTCTCCATTTCCATTTTAGTACATTGAACTATTAGAATTGGCCACACTTCATAAAGATTAAACAGCACATCCCCACAATTATCCACTTCAAAAAGGAATAAGAACTTGGCTTTGTGTTTCCAAGAGGGGGCTTAAATTCTATTTCTATCTTCCCCCTAACCCGCCTTATCATTCCAAATTAAATATTCTTCAAGCTCGTGGAGCGAAATCAATCCTTTGAAGCTACCAGCAAATTGCAGATATAGTCTTTGCAAGCAGTCCCACAGCTGCCCTAAATAATTATCATCCCACACAAAATCAATCCAAAAACACTTCTTCCCCATCCGACATAGCGCGAGTCCCACCGCAATCACGGCATTAACCAGAGAGAGACAGGCCACAGTTCACAGCCAATCAAGTTCCTAACCCCACACAACCCCTCCCCCGTCCACCCAAAATCCGACCCCCTCATCTCACACAACCCCTACACAAGTTAACTCGCGCGCCAACACCCAACAACGATAACGAAACGAACACGAACAGAACACGCTCCTTGGACGAATCGAAGCGCAAAGGAGATCAGCTATGTCCTAATCAAACGCTACTCAGGATGCAAAATTCGAAAGGGGAAAGAAAACTAACCTGATGGGGTCAATTCTATTCCAACAATCAATCCGTTGCTACCCAAGATCAAATCAGCTCGCGTCAACACTCGAGCAGGCTCGAATCGACCAGATTGGCCCCGCAAACCGATGCGGAAATCCTAAGGAAATCCGAACCCAGCTCGCGAAGGGAGGAGTACCCAGAGGAGAAACCGAGCCAATTCACAAGTGGGCGAGTTCAAAACCGAAGCTTTTGGGGAAACGGGGATGCAAAGGTGGGGGCTTTTGGGGGAACGATGGGTGCGCGGAGGAAGATGAAGAAGAAGAGGAGGAGGAGCGATGGAGAGGGACGTTGAGAATTAAAAGAGAGAGAGAGAGAGAGGAGGAAAGGGGGAATTGGAAGAAATTTCTGAGACAGTTTCCTTAGAAATGGGGAAGGGAAAAAAACAAAGAGGAAATATTAATGTTTATTTCATTTCATTTTATTTATTTTAATTTTTATTTCTTCTGGGAAGAGCGAGTGTCAAGATGACTCGTTCCTCTTTGAAGGATCCGCCAGGAGAATTTGGCTCAGAGACTTTGCCGAATTACCCCGGAAGAGTAATTAAAAAACTACTCCCCTCTCCTCTTGATTTTTGGGAAAAAAGAAAACAAACAGAAAGAGAAGTAAGGCCCAAAGCCACCCTAAAATATGCCCGTTCCGTATACGAAATACCTCATGTGACCAAAACTCCAAAAACTCGTATAGGTGTGATAAAAATACATTATGTCTACCACAAAAGATGATAAATTTTTGCCCGCACGGACATCAGAACCCCAGATTCTTTTCGTGTCACCGGTACCCAAAACTTGTACCATGCGAAAAAAAAAAAAATCTTGATTCTTTGTCCCACTAGTATATATTTTGGGTTTTGGTGAGTTAAAAAAACATTTGGGATATCGGGGTCGTAATGGCCGTTCAGTAATACAATTAGATTTTCTGGATATCGATTTCATAATGGATAGAGTTTAAGGTATTTTATGGCATAAATCCAAGAAGTGATTGGCCTGACATCAGGTTTTAAAATAACCCGGCCCTGTAGAGTGGCAGTTTCCAACACATTGGGGAGTGCGACGCTCGTGCACAAGCAAGGCAAATGCGACACGATGCGAACACGACCAATTCGAAGTATCACGAATAAGCCAGGCCATAAAGTGGCTCCACTTCAAGGTTATAACTCTAACTTAAACCATATTTTACAATGTTATATTTCTTGTTTCATGGAAAGATAATGATTTGGAATATATATTTTTTTTAAAATGATTGCTTGTGTGATTGTATCTCTTTCGAAAACAAATAAGCGAAGAATATTTTCATTGTCCACGAAAATGTTTAGATATAAATTATTATCAATAAAGAAAATATTTTTCATTGACTAATTATTTCAAGTGACACAGAAAAACTATTTTTACGAGAAAATATTTTTCAAATCATTCATTTTTTCGCGAAACAAACAGAGCTTAAATCGCATCAATTAAGGAGTTAATCGAAGGGGAAGAAAGTGAAACCGCCGAATGAAAAAAAAAAAAAGGTTACAAATTATCCTTTCTAGTCTATCTTGAGCCCGGCCCGAAAACTCGGTCCTATAACTTATGAGGCCCGGCCCAATACCGGTATGGGCCGGTCCATGAACGGGTCTAGCCTAATTTGGTAACCGGGCCTTCCAACGACCGGTATCATCAATGCTGGCCCAATCGGCCCACGTGGGGAGATCGGTTTACGTGTCCTAATCCCACAATCTAGTGATCTACATTTGCCCAATAATCACTTGATTAAAGGGCCAGTTATGCCCTTCCCCATACTTATAATCAATTGATAATCAAGATTTTTTAATAGCAGCTAGGACCAGCGGCGACATTTTGGGTAAGGTTTGAAGATTCCAAGACGGCCTTTTGAAAATACCAAAATCCTTGTCTTGAATATAATCTTAATTATGTGTCCAACCTTAATGAATTAATTTAAAAGACCCATCTACTTAATCCCCCATCTAATTGTTCGGATTAGAGCCTCGGAAGACGAACTGATGCCCCTCGAGGGCGGGAAGGACACATTTTTAACCTATGTTGAGGTTGTTAGTATTGACGTTCTGGCTTAAACCAAACGATTCTGATATTCTGAAATTTTTAATTGCGGGTTTCGCCTCAGACCACATGCCTTGACTCCTTTCTTCTTCTTTTTTTCTTTTCAAGCGCTCTGTTTATCCTATGCGTTGTTTGCGACCGCCTGTCATATGATTACCATTGATTTAAGGAGATCGCGATCCCAAAAGCACAAGCGCATGTGAGCTCTCACTTCTTTTTGCAATTATGAAGATTGGTGCCTATATTTTTTTTTCCGAATTAATTACGGAATATTCTCAATCAAGACTTTTGTAATATCCGGACACATGGGTAAATTAGATCATCGTCATGATTGTTAATATTCTAACGGGCATATCCAAATGAAAATCCATCATTAGTCCGCTAATCTCTCTCGTCTTTCTAGTATTCAACTCCAGTTAGAATCGCAAATGGCATTAGTCCGCTAATCTCTCTCTCGTCTTTATAGTTATGACTCGGATCGAATATTCCGTAACGGCTATAAGACCCTTATGGTAACGTCTAAAGCGGGTAGGTACTAAAGAATTTGATTTTAAGGTCACATTGCAAATGATGTTAAGTCGAAAATCGATATCTTTTTCTTTTTCTATTTCTTTTTCACGACAAGTGAAAACGGTGAAGTCTGAATCAATCCAGCATCTCACGAAGATTTGGCTTGGTTTCTTCCCTTAAACGCGATCTTGGTTGTCTATGAACAATTTCGTTGCTTTAGCAAACTCAATACATATGTAGTATAATTTCTCAAGCTGCTAAACCTAATTGTGGTACCTTCAATTATGCTTTATTATCATTTAAATTAAGAACACTAATTGTAAAGTTTATACTATTTTTATAGTTTGGTCTTGCGGTTGCAATGCCTTCTTCTTTTGACTAGTATTGACATTTGATATTCCAGATCACTTAAAACTTTGTAAAAACTTGAGCAAGATACCCAAAGTTATTCTAATAGTACATGTAATGTAATTAATAAGGTGATTTCATGCTATAGTTTGATGAACAATGACAAAGGTGCGATATGTGAATCCATAGTCGATTTCAATTAGGGTTTTAACTATTTTGCGTACATTAAGGCTATGAATAAGTCAATTGAATAACGAGTTCAATAATGGACTCGAGATTCGTTGTTTTTTTTTTTTTTTTTTGTATGTCCTATTTATAATTCTTTCCACTTTCTGACTTTTACTCTGCCTCTTGCAAAATGCGAGAGTTGAATCCCGCAACTGTGATACTAGTGTCCCCACCCCCAATCCCTTTACCGGCAGGACCGCATGCCTATTGGCAGATTCGTTTTTCTTTAGATATGCTCTTTTTGTCTATTTTTAGTAGATTTTAATTAGGGTTATTTACCATTTTCGTTTCGTAAAGATTTTTGTTCTTCCACATTTTGTTTTTTTTTCTTATTTCCTTTTTTTATCGAAAGAAAGATTTAATTCATTTTTCAGAATAATACTCGAGAGGTACATAGAAGGCTCTCCAGCCTAGAAAATCTCAAATAATTACGGAACAAAGCAATTGCTAGATTGCAAATAACAAAGCACAGTATGCAGCTATAAAGCACACTCTCATCTCTCAAGAAGATCTCTGCTACCGTCAACGTTCAGCAGCGGCCGATCGCCAGATTCAGTGATGAGCACACGCCGAGATGTTCCACTCCATTTGCAACGGTTTGAGGTGCGCATCTAAATTCAACGTCCTCATCGCATCGCCGTGCAGAGACACTAACATCAATATGTTGAAAGAACACGGATTAAATACCTGTAAGGAACTCCTAGATCTATACATAAATCGAGTTCGGGAGAGTAAAATCCCCAGATATAGATTTAATTCTAAATCGAGAGAGGAGAGAGGCCTAATCTCGGAGAAATTGTGGAGCCACGTCACGAACATCCTTCTCGGTAACTGTTGACTAGACGAATTGCCGAATTGGTCTCACGTTCACCCAAAATTAACTGTAGAAATTTATCCACATGTACAAACTCTTAAAACAGATCGAGGGTGAAAAAAAAAGGCAATCAAAATAGAGAAAATAAAAAATCAAAGACTAAGTAGGCTCCCACCTTCAAAAGCTGAAGGTAAGAGCCTACGGGAGAGCTTCAAAAGAGTTAAGAATTTTTTGGGAGACGAGGGAGCTTGCTGATGGAGAGATAAAAGAACGAAACCCTAGTTTTTTTCCTTATTTCATTAGGTCACTAATCCAGTTTAATAGAATGTTCAGTGGATGGATTCGAGATTCGTTTCTTTTGAGCGTGAAACTTTTTGTTGTCTCATTTCAAAGTTGAATACTATCTTTGAATCTGTAGTTGAATTTGATTGGGGTTATTTATAGTTTTACTTTCTCATAAAGATCATATCTTTTCGCATAATTTTTTTTTCTCATTTTCATTAGTTCACTAATTCAATAAATGATAAGTTCAATTAAAGAATTCGATTCTCTAATTCTAGTGTTGAATGCAATATCTGAATCACTAGTCGATTTTAGTTAGGGTCATCAACTATTTTACATTCATAAATGATTTTCCACATCTTTTTTTTCGTATTTCATCAGTTAATAATTGAATAGGAAGCTTAATTGAAGGATTTAAGATTCATTTTCTTTAAGTGTGTACTTTTGTCTAATTCCGGTATAAATGCAACTTTCGAATTCCCAGTTGATTTTAGTTAGTGCGCACTTTT